AATAAATTTCCGGTTTTTTTTTGTGGGTGTTAGTAGTAGAGAGACACATATACGTTGATGAGTGAATGTGTTCTTTTTCTTAATTAGTAACTTTCCTTGTTTCAATATTTTTGGTTTCACTGCTAATTGAATCTTCTGTTTATCTTTTATTGGCTCCAATTCTGCCCTGAAATCAATTGAAATTTATTTATGCAGAGGTACTCCACACCAGCAAGAGAGAAATGCTTGTATCAACATTTTGTAATTTATATTTTATCCCTAATGAAGATATATGTGTGCAGGCGAAGGCATAGTGCCGCTGCTGGATTGCGAGAGTGGACCTCTATATTCTGATGTCAGAATTAAACTGAAACATCAATAAATTAAATAATGTGAATATTATTAAGCTAAAGCACGACATGATACAATAATACATCAGTACATTATCAATAACATCTTAATTATATATTTATATGATAACAAATCAGTTGGCCAGCCTCAGGAATATGTTTACAGACAATCATCAAGACATCAACATCTTGATTATATATATATATATATATACTATTATAAGATATTTTTGGTTTTGCTAACCGATTAATCATTTGTTTTTTAAATTAGCTAATTATTAAAATTATACTGTAACAATTAGTTTTTGTTAAGAAAAATAAATATTAGTATCGTCACAAAACTTTTTTTTAACAAATTAAGTCAAATATTTAACCGCTTCCACGAATTCTTCTACGTTAATTACTTGAACAAAAAAAAGTCTACCATACCTTAAAACTATTTTATATAAATCGGGTCAATTGGAAGAAATCAAAATAGCTTTTAAATATCTGGTTTGATTTTTAATATTTTTGTGTGACGCACAGAAAAGCGGAAATAACACGTAGGATGCAGAAGATATGCTGACGTGGCACTATTGATGCAAGGCAAGGAAGAAGATCTTTGTAATAAGAAAGGGAGATTGGAATCCCAACCGAAAATGGAAAGGAGATATACATAAGGCGAGGTGGTATATATTCCATGGAAAATGAGTTCAGTAGGGTTGGCCGTTCTGAGCGAGATTTGAGAGAGCAATATCACAAGAAACTAAGTGAGAGTTTAGGGTTCTTGGTGAGTGATTGTAATCTAGTTCCACAACTATTGTTGTGCTCGGTCGAGTAGATTAGGAATTGGTCAGTGTCGAATTGCATTGCAAAGTCGTGTAAAACTGATTAGACAGATCGTTTGAGATTGTTTAAGTGATTTCTAATAGAAGGCAAAAAAGTGTTTTGCAAAATCAGTGTGTTCAACTCATTGTCTCTGTGTTACAACTCTTTCATGACCCACCCTAGTAACTATAAATCTTTCTATGCAATAGTTTAAAGAAGCTGATAATTATCTTCGTACAATGATTGAATCGTACAAAACAATATTCATTTCCAGCTACATATATATGTCAATCAATTCAATCATTTTACGAAAATAGTTATCAGTTTTCTTTGAAACTGAATGAAACTTTTCGTCGACATGTAAAATGCAAGTCGCGAATGTAATAATTAGAATGGACAATTTTGAATGTGCAAGTAAGACATATTGACACTGTCATTATTCATTCATTGGTCCCGTGTACGTATCCAATTCGGTTTCAAGCATTTCCGCGATTTCATTTTCTTTTTTCTTCTTCAACTTGTATTATTGTCGTATACATTTTGGTTAATTTACTCATTTAGAATAAAATAATTACTTGATGTCAAAAAACAAATATATATAAATAATTATAAATGTCCCCATCATTGATGATGCAGCTAATCGATTATAAGTCAACGGGAATTACAAAAAGAAAAATAGTCAACGCATTTAAACTTCAACGCACCTTATATAAACATCTTTTTGACCAATGCCGGTCATGAACGGCCTCTTACATGCAAGCAAACCAAAAAAATCAACTCAACTTTATAATTGGACATAACATATTTTCAATTCATTATCCTGATAAGTTTAGTATAGTCCACAAAAAAAAATCAGTTAGAATATTTTGGTTTGTATTGGTGAGAATTAAGAGCATCTATGGTTTCTTTGCTAATCGGTTTCTTGTCAAGTTTGGGTTGAATAGTCATTGCAGAAAAGAACCCTAGAATAGGTTCAGGATGAAAAAAATCCATGGGATGATAATGACTATGTGATGTGGATAAGATACCGTAATTCTCTTTTGTAACATGTTTTTTTTCCTTGTAGATGTTTAGAATAACATATATCGTTCTACCAAAAACAATTAGTAACAAAGAAACAAGAAACAAAAAACATAAAATCCAGAGTCCTAAACTCCTAAAGTTAGACACTCACATAAGAAATAATATGATACAAAAAAAATAATATGTAATGCCAAAAAAAAATAACTTGTCTCATACCACTTAAGAAAATAAAATCACCCATCTAAGAAGTATTTACTTTAAGTCACATCATTACTATTTTCTAAACTACTACCTGAATCCATTACTCTATAATATTTGGTTTTCTATTGCTGAGAGTTTAGAGCATTGATGTTTTCATTGGTCCTCGGTTTCTTGTAAATAAGTACAGTTTTTTGGTTGAAAAGTCATTTGTGGAAACTGTAGAATAGATTCAAGATCGAAGATTCGATGGACAAACAATGACCCTGTGATGTCGATATGACACCGTGAAATATCTCTCTTGATTCTTATCCTTGATGAAATACCTCATAAAAACCCAAAAAATGATTGTAGAAAATTTTGATCTAATCCTACATTAACAAATTAGCGAATTTAGTTTAAAAGTAATAATCAAAGTAGGTTCACATTTTAAAACATATTCAAATTAGGAATTTATTAATTAGAGTGTCTAATCGTTATGACCACCTAATCACCCTCTACACTCTACACCATTGTATCGATTCAATGATGATTCAATGATATTTTGTTACCAAAATGATATATCGGCTATGCTAGAGCCAATTTTTATTTTTTATTTTGTTTAATAAAGATAAAAATAATGATCTTTTGTTAGAAGAGTATATTATTAAGCAGCAGATCAAATAGTAAAACGACCCCATTCCACTGATGTAATTTTTTTATTATTAGATATGGGGAAAACGGCCGATTTCTACATGAACTTTGTGCTTGCTGAAAATCCATACACGAACTTTTAAGCCATGCCTATACCTACACGAACTAGCTTGTTTGGTCAATTACTACAAAACCGCTTGTAATCTGGTCAATTCCCCCAAACCCGTTAACGAGGTATATATCACCGTTAATGGATGCTGACATGTGAGTATGCGTAGAAATGTTAAAAAAAATTTATTTTTTTAAAGCTAAATAAATCCAAACGACATCGTTTTTATTGATTTACCTCATTGTCGAAACTCAGCAAAACTCGGAAATGAAATAGAATCGAGTTGACACTTCTACCACGCAATCGAAATGAACAAACTCGCAGCACCTACTCGTCTTTTTCGTTGACGGAAACCATCGCAGCTTATCTCCTCGATCCCAAATGCTTAATTCCAAATCCCAAATCGCAGTTTATCTCACCAACCTTAATTTAAAATTTCCCCCAAATTTGAGAATAATGTTTAAGTTAAATAATTAAAAAAAAATTGGAAATCAAACCGGACCAAACCGGTATTAAACCATCCCAAATCCCAAATCGCAGCTTATTTCACAAACCCCTAATTTAGAATTTCCCCCAAATTGTAAAACGACATCGTATTGAAATTTGAGAATACGGTTTAAGTTAAAATAAAACGACGTCGTTTTATCTCTATACTTAACAAAAAAATATTAAAAATCAAACCAGATAAAACCGGTAATACACCTGGCTGCCACATCAGAAATCGTTGACGGACATCTCACATCGCCTGCGGTTTTGTAGTAATTGACCAAATCAAGCTAGTTCGTGTAAGTATGGGCATGACTTAAAAATTCGTGTATGAACTTTCAGCAGGCACAAAGTTCGTGTAGGAATTGGCCGTTTTCCCATTAGATATGCTACCTTTTGGCTTGTAAACTTTTTGGATTTTCCGTTTACTATTTAATAATATAAGCAGATTGTAAAAAATAAAAAAAAATTGATTCTGTATGGCAAACACAGTTTTCGGAAGTTCTTGATCAAGACGTATATGTATTTTCCATATCGAAGGTTTTCAATATCACTTTATACAATGAATTCTATATTTGTTTTGCCCTTGATACTTCTCCAATCAAATTAAGATAACTTAATGGCAACATATTAAAGTAAAATCTCTGAATCCAATTTGTTGACCAGATGATTAGATTTCTGCGTCTTTAACTTTGAGCGCACAGGTTCTTTCTCATTAAATGTGCAAACACTTTGTTAAACTTGCAGTATTTTACAGCCTCAGGCTACAACAACATATTGTAAGTAACAATCATCGAGATTCAGTCTCATTTTTTAAACTTCTCTAAAAATCCACAAAATTTGATGATATTTTGAGGATCCATCATTCTTAAGGATAGAAAGTCATCTAAACACTTTTCTTCCTTGTTTCCGATTTTTTTTTTCATTTTTGACATATCACGTTTTTTTTAGTTTATTAACTTAAACATCAAAAATATAATAAAATATCTTATTATCGTGTTTTTCAATCTTTAGCGTTCTTTGTTATTTTTCTAGGAAACTTACCTCTGAAAGAACAAAAATTACCTTAACCAATATTTAATTGATATATCATTTCCTATAATTTGGTAACTTTGTTACTTAAAAATCAAATAAATTGTATATGTAGTCAGCACATTTATTTGGTAAAAATTTGACAAAACTAGTACTGTATAATTTCTATCACAACTCTTTTTTATATAGAGAGATATTTTTCTCAAAACCTCATGAAAACTAGAACTTCGTGTACATGTGAAAAAAAAAAAGAGAACATATATGTATGTTAACTTTATAAATGTTACTATGTATATACATGCCAAAAAAAAACTAAATATCTATATAAGATTCCATTGGGCCGCAGGAGAATCTCTTTATATTTTATTTGATTTCTTACGTTTTGCAATTTTGTTTTCTATGTGGAGAGCCAAAAAGTCTCCTAAGTCTTCACGTCACCCTCTCTTCTCTTCTCGATCTCTGCACCCTCTTTCTATAAGTACTCTTCACATCCACCAATACCAATACAGTACCAAGACTCGAGACAGATTTGATTCGATTCCATTCCATTTTACTCTGAATTTGACTATTACGATCAACCAATCTTGTTGTTCCTAGCCATGAGTCTTCTTGCAGATCTCGTTAACCTGAACCTCTCAGAGACCACTGACAAAATCATTGCTGAATACATATGGTTCTTCTTCTTCCTTCCTTCATAAAAATCGTTTTTTTTTTGTTATGTTTATGTATTTTACCGTATACGTGCTCATAATGATCAAATCGTTAATCCAATGGGTTCGTGTTGTTTTTCCAACTTTTGACTCTGTTTGATTTGGGTTTGTATGGATTAAGTAGATTCTGCGCCTTTGATCGATCTTATTAGTCCTTTAGATCCAATTCCTTTTTTTTGTTTAGTCCTTGAGATCTCTGTTTAATTTGCTGATTACTTCTATTAAGTTTCTAATCTGCTGTAAAACTATGTTTGCTCTGTTTTTTTGCTCTGTACTTAGAAAGTAATGATCGATATTTTTGAAATAATTTTTTTACTCGTTTGTGTTTCTCGGTTTACTAATTTGTAACTCGTTTGTGTTTATATGTTTGAATCATATGTTGAATTTCCTGATTTATTCTACAAAGATTCTGAATCTGCTGTAAAAGTAAAACTATGTTTGCTCTGTTTTTGACTCTGTTCTGAAGAAGTAAAGGTTGAATTTTTTTAAAAAATAATTTGTTACTCTTTTGTGTTTCTCTGTTTACTAAATCAGGGTTGGAGGTTCTGGAATGGATATGAGAAGCAAAGCCAGGGTAATTTTGGCAAAAAATCCAACTTTTTGTCAATTTCTATTTTTAGCCTAAATCACAAGTTTGGTTTATAGTGTAATTTTGTTTATATGTAGACTCTCCCTGGACCAGTGAGTGACCCTTCGAAGCTACCAAAGTGGAACTATGATGGTTCAAGCACAGGACAAGCTCCTGGGGAAGACAGTGAAGTCATCTTATAGTAAATAATCTGTTCTTTCTGATCTTATTTTATACCAGTTTTCTTCACAAACATAAAGATTAGTAATCGTTTATGTTTTGTATTATGTCTTTTATAGCCCTCAAGCCATATTCAAAGATCCTTTCCGTAGAGGCAATAATATTCTTGTAAGTTCAATCAAAGTTTTGATATTTCTTGTTGTTGTAACCAAACGTTATTGTTACATCCATCATAACCTTTGTAATGGTTTTTGATCAGGTCATGTGTGATGCTTACACTCCCGCGGGTGAACCAATCCCGACAAACAAAAGACACGCTGCAGCTAAGGTCTTTAGCCACCCTGATGTTGTAGCTGAAGTGCCATGGTGAGTCTGTATTTGATGATATCGTTTGAGCCAGTTTGTTGTAAAATGCGATGTTATTGATGATTTTTCTTTTGAAAACTAGGTATGGTATTGAGCAAGAGTACACTTTACTTCAGAAAGAAGTTAATTGGCCTGTTGGTTGGCCTATTGGTGGCTTTCCTGGCCCTCAGGTGAAGAAGATGAATGAATAATGGGTTTTGTTGCTTTTCAATGTTCGGTTTTCTAAAAATATTTTGCGAATATATCTTACAGGGACCTTACTATTGTGGTGTTGGAGCAGACAAATCTTTTGGTAGAGATATTGTTGATTCTCACTACAAGGCCTGCTTATACGCTGGAATCAACATTAGTGGTATCAATGGAGAAGTCATGCCTGGTCAGGTAGTTTTCATAACCAAAAAAACTTGGCTCGTATTCCGTTTTGATATTTATTGGGAAACCTTAAAGTTCAAATCTTTGATCTTTTTTTTCTCTTTGATATAAAGTTAATCTTTTTACTAAAGCTTTGATCCTATTTCTCTGATTTTAAAGATCAAATCTTTTTCATAAAGCTTTGATCCTTTTTCCTCTTTGATATTACATGATGATCTTAAAGATCAAATCGTTTGCATTTGTGTATACAGCTATGACCTTAAATATCAAATCTTTTTCATATAGCTATGATCCTTTTTCTCTTTGATATTGATTTATTTTTTTTTTCGATCCTTGTGCTCTTTGATATTACATTATGATCTTAAGGATCAAAATCGGTTTGCATTTCTGTATTTAGTTATGACCTTAAATATCAAATCTTTTTCATAAGCTTTGATCTTATTTCTCTTTGATTTTCAGTTATGATCTTAAAAATCAAATCTTTTGCAAAAAGTAGTAATTACCAAATCTTCTGTGTTGAGAACAGTGGGAGTTCCAAGTCGGTCCAGCTATTGGTATCTCGGCCGCAGATGAAATCTGGGTCGCTCGTTACATTTTGGAAGTATGTTTCAACGATTAAAAACATTCAAACATCAATGGTTTGTTCTGTTAATTTCGGTTAAATAACACTCTGCTCGTTCTAAAAACAGAGGATCACAGAGATTGCTGGTGTGGTGGTATCTTTTGACCCGAAACCGATTCCCGGTGACTGGAACGGTGCTGGTGCTCACTGCAATTACAGGTACATATTCAAGAATCGATTTTTAAATTTTAATGTTTTGTCTTGTGATCTTCTTATGCTGATTCAAAGAACACACATGGGAATTGCTTCAGTACCAAGTCAATGAGGGAAGATGGTGGTTACGAGATTATCAAGAAGGCAATCGATAAATTGGGACTGAGACACAAAGAACACATTGCAGCTTACGGTGAAGGCAATGAGCGTCGTCTTACTGGTCACCACGAGACTGCTGACATCAACACTTTCCTTTGGGTAACTTAGCTAACACTTGACGGTTTTTGAATAGTTAAAAGTCGAATTACATTTGGTTTGTTTGTATCTGAGATTGTGTTTGAATGTTGAATTTAGGGTGTTGCAAACCGTGGAGCATCGATCCGTGTAGGACGCGACACAGAGAAAGATGGGAAAGGATACTTTGAGGACAGGAGGCCAGCTTCGAACATGGATCCTTACATTGTCACTTCCATGATTGCAGAGACCACAATCCTCTGGAATCCTTGATCAGATTCAAGAAAATCTTGAAATTTTTCACTCAATTGTGTTTCTTGCAAGATTCAACGTTTGTGTGTTTCTATTCAAGCAATGTCTCAGAAACAAGTCAAGATTTGCTCTGATTTTTTTTTCTGTCGTTTAATTATTTGCCATCTACTGAAAACCTTTCTTTGTATCATTATGAATAAACACTATTTGGAAAAGGGTTGATTCATTTTACAAACTCTTTTACCACTTGACTGGGACAAAAAAGGTGGCCAGTTTGGGTTTCTGTTTAGAGTTTTCTTTTCTATATTTTTGGTTTGAGTAACTAAATAAATTATAGACATTGAATTGGATAACATATTTAGACATTGAATTTGATAACATGCGTAATCTTAGAAAATGTCTTAACAGAAAGAAACTACATCTTAGGAATGTATAGGCAGAAAACAAAAGGGTTACATCTTAAAAATGTGTTGATGGTTCATAAGTAACCAAGCTCGCTGGATTTTTCCTTGTCGAAAGTCTCAAAACACTGATATATAGTTGAGACGGCAAGAAGATTCCGGTCCCTGACCCAATAGCTCCCATGAGGTCAGCAAGAACAGTGAGTGCACCAATACACATTCCTCCAAAAGCAGCTGATGTTGCGATATAGCGGTTAAGCTCCTTATGCAAGTTAGACTCTCTGTATCCAGGCATCACCAATTGCTGTTCCTTGAGCTGCTTTGCTACGTCTCTAGCAGAAGACCCCGAGATCTGAATCCACGCCTTTGAGAGAAACGCACAAGCAGAGAGCATGAAGATTATGTAGAAGAGTGCATGGCAAGGATGAGCTGCCATATCCGCCAAACTTGATGGAGGTGTGATTAAGTAAGCGAGACCACCGACTGGTACAGATTCTCTCCACTGTCCCAACATATGTTAACCAAGAAGTTACCACTGAAGTTGTTGTAGAGAAGCTGAGAGATGAAGTAGAGATTTGAGACGAGAGCGGATTGGAGAATAATCGGCATGTTTGAGGTATACAAGAGCTTGATCGGGTAACTAGAGCCACCACCACCACCACGTGAAGTCTTTGACTTAACGGGCAAGAAAACGCGGAAGCCTTGGAAGTAGACGACGACCAGGAAGACCAAGACCGTTGCGAGCAAGTTTGTAACGTTCGGAAGGTTTTGTCTGAAGAAAGCTTGTCCGATGCTAGACCTAGTTATCAGTTTATGGAAGAGCGAGATCAAGGAGCCTTCAAACTCGGTTCCAAAACGTCCTTGAACTGTCACGGGGCTAAACGCTTTCCAGATAACGCTCTCGCAGAGATTAGTCGCTACGAAAAGAGAGATTCCCGAGCCAAGACCATAACCCTTTTGGAGAAGCTCGTCAAGACATAGAACAATGATTCCTCCGAAGACAAGCTGGAGGACGACAAGAACCGCGTTTCCAACACCGAGCTGCGCAAGAGGACCATACATTCCAGAGAGAACATATGTCACGGCTTGTCCTATGGCGATCAGAATCCCGAGAAGCTTTTGAGTACCGTTCAAGAGAGCACGATCCTCCTTTTGAATAATCTTTGAGCTTGTCAAGAACTGCATCACGAGTCCTGATGTGACGATGGGACCGATACCGAGCTCCATAACGGTGCCACGGCTTGATGCGAGAATGGCTCGGATCCAGTAGAAAGGATCCGCACCGGTTGTGGAGTGGATGCCGTAGAGAGGAAGTTGACTACAAACGAGAAAAACGAAGAGAGTAATCACAGTGTAGATCACTTTCTCTCTCAATGGAACCTTCTTCTCACATGGCTTCACCTCGGGAACAAAAGCTAACAAGGGCTTCACAACATGCAATACTCCTCCTTCCATCGTCGTTGATGATGTCTAGGGTTTTGATTTGGATACAGAGAAAGTATTTCTTGAAACCTCTCGGTTGTGTTTAATTTGGATGGATGCTGCTGTATTTATAGAGACTATAGAGAAACCAATCTGAATATAATTACGAAATACAAAATCCATTACAATACGGATTTATGATTTTTTATATTATCAACTTTCCTTTTTTTATATAATCTGACGAATATTAGTGATAAGGAATTAAGGAATTAAATTTCCTTATTCGTCAGATTAAAAACGTTTATAAATATTAATCTATGTCAAAAAAAGTTGGAGTTATGATTTCCAAAATCACTTTCCATATTTACCTAAAAAAAAAATTCTTCAAACTTTGTTTAATGGCTAACATTTATTAAATGGTAAACGTAGTATACAACAGAAACCTCAAATTCTGTTTTGAATCAAATCTTAAATAAAGTTTTGGATAAATAAACAAATTTCGATTCTTGATAAAGAAATTCGATGAAAAAATTAACTCGTTTTAGTGATATAAAAAAATAAGAGATTCGGTTTTTAAATTGGTGTTATCCATAATAGAAAAAAAATTACTTTTATAGATACAAATTGTGTGTGAAGTCCACAACATCTAGATTCGCAGAACCTAAATCTATTTTCCTAAGAACTCAATTCATTAGATAACATCGTCATCAGACAAGGAGAGTGTAGCTCTGGAGGCCAAAAGCTCTGCTTTCTCCTTCTCCAGCTGAGCTTCAAGTTCTGAGCACTTATGCTTCAAATCCTTCAAGTCTTCCTCAATCTTTTGCATCTGAATCTCACCAGCTTCCTCTTTCTCCTTACTTTCTTTAACTTGATCAAGCTTCTTCTCCAACCAATCCAGCTTAAACCCTACGTTTGTCATGTTTGCAAGAGTAGCTTCTGCATCAGACAGATCATCTTTGAAGATTTTCTTAGGCCACCGGCGCAGAGACTTAGTTTAGGACATTCATGTATGCTGTCTTAAGTTCTTGGTTCTTTATATGGAACTTTGATGCAATGTCTGGGTGTCTTTCAAACAAACGGTTCATAGCATTTACCTACTAGTGAGAAAACAAAAATCTGTTTAGAAAAAACCATATCAAATAACAATTATCAAGAAACTGATGAAGTTAGCATTCATTGTTTTAAGTATCTTACCTGTGAAGGAAGAACTTGAAACCCTTTGACATCCATTACCAATGAAGTTTCCTCTAACATATCTGATTTGCCAATAACTTCGAGAAAATCAACTTCAGCAGCAATCTTGACTTCTCCATTCACTAGAAACCCACCATTTATGTCAAGAAGTTTTGTAAGCGGAAGCACATCTCTATAACCCAAAGTGGGGTTCTTTTGATCAAACCAATAAGCTTGTCCTCCTGATCAAAACAAGAGTCGCAACAACACATAAATACAATCGTGTTTGCAGCACAAGTCCCATTATGACAAAGTAGGATCATAAAATATGACCTCTTTTGTTCTCCGCCTTATAGAAATAATCTTAAACCAAACTTTCTTCACCTTTCACTTGGGAGAATTCCTCTAATGTTGATATACAACAATTAGTCGAAATTTGGTGTTTCTTCTCCATCCAGAAGGCAAAGTTTCAGAATCAGCTACGCTTAAAAACAGAGCCAAATAATTAGCCTTCTCAATTCCCTTGGGATAGACCACAAGACGCCTTGCAAAGCAAAAAAACAAAGAAAAGCAAAAGATAATATTACCTAAACTTGGAATGTATTCATACCCATTTTGCACTTAACACTTGATACCCATTTTCAACCCACCGTTTGATAACTTAATCTGCTAAAAACCGTAAACGGTGATTAGTTTGATTTCTAATAAAGGATTAAGCCAAAACCAATCCTAACCAACTCTATTAGAAGTTTTTAGGATGAACATTTTCAGACTTTTGCTTTTAAAATGTAATTGCAGATTAGCTTAAAGAAAAAAATCCAACATTTCTTGCTGAATCTGCTTCCTCGAAACAAATCACTTGCATTTGAGTATCAACGCCTTCAAACTAACGAACAAGTCTGAAAATTGGGGTTCCCTTACAAAATTTATACGAACAATTCTTAAAGTTTCTTGCGGAATCTGTTTTTCTCCTCACGATCATTCAGATTCAGATTCAGCTTCAGATTCAGCTTCAGATTCAGCTTCGAATTCTCTATCATCATCATCCTCAACAAAAACGAGTTCGCATGTGCTTGAAGCTCGAGAAGAAAGTGTCAATTCCTTGATCATCTCAAGGTTTGACACATGATACTCTGTATCAGCCAAGAACGTTGCCTTCTTTAAGCAACAAGCGTTCTTCAAGATGTAAATCGCAATCTCTCTCTCTTGTGGTCTCCCAAAGTATCTTGACCAGCTGAGAATCTGTAGACTCGACAACAAGCATTGAGGAACAGAACTCGGTTGATTCCAGCAAACCATCTCATCAGTCCAATGACCCTGAGACCAAGCAGAAGAATTAGAATTAAACCATACTGCCGCAATTCAGACAAAATAAAAAGATAGTTTATTAACTTACTTCTATTACACAGATGTCTAACACTTGTAAGTTTGGAGAATCTTTGAGCAATTGGCCAAGGACATTCAACGAATCATTTTTGCAAACACATAGCGTCAGATGTTGAAGCTGGTTGAAAACTAAATCATCACCATACGCATTATCCTGCCCCACGATACTACAAACATTATTAACAGAGGATTCCACAAATTCGAGATTGATAAAATGAAGAAAAAAAATTACCGGTGAACATATAGTAAGACGCTTGACAGATGTGACTGTTCCAATAACACTCTTGAGATCATGTGAAACAAGATCAACATATGCTTCATTCAACTTTGGCATATTCGTAATATCAGATTCGTGTTCCATAATATTCTGATCATCAAGCTTTAGATACTTCAAAGAAGGAGTCTCTATCTCATACCCTTCCAAAAACAAATCATGAGCTATATAGAGTGATAACCTCTGTAAAGACGGGACAATAACAGTGAACACTCCATCGTGATCACCATCAAAATGCATCGATAGTTCTTCAAGAACAGGACATACAGATAGAAGCTGTTGAAGAGATTCTTGATTAGGGTGTGTAACACTTTCAAGCTTCAAGGTTTTCAAAGAGGGAAGACAAGCCGTCGAGGGAACATCCATGAGAGTCACGTATCTGAGTTTCAGGACCACAAGCGATTTGCAGGTATAAAAGCTGCTCGGGAATATGATTTCTTTCTCTGAATGAGAATAAGATATATCCAGCTCACGTACATTGCGAGAAACTGCAATCTCAACCCACCGTTTGATATCTTCAGGTTCAACATTTGAATCACCACCAAAATGGAGACTCAAGCTTTCTATGACCGGAGCTCTATGTAATGGCAGATTCTTGTCAATAAATTCCTCAAGTGCAGACTCTGGATAACGGTTACATGTATCATCGTACTCAAGTTTAGGCAACGACATCCAGAGAAACTTCCAACGCTTAGACAAGATGCTAGTGGATACAGCAACTTGTGTTGGAACAAACGACAATATCTTCTCCAGCAATTCATCAGGCAGCCCACTGATTCTGTCCATATCATACAACTTTGATTCTGGTCGAAATCAACACCTGTAAGACTCAAAAAGGGTTTTGTCGAAAGCCCAAGCAAATGAATAAGTAATGAGAGGAAACACAGCAACACACAGGAACAGAACAAAACCAGAGAACAGAACAATACCAGAGAAAGCTCTAGCAAGAGAAGACCTTTGAAGTTAACCAGAGGCTCAATTTTCAGCCTGGAAACCGGAATCAGAATAAAATCGGAAGTTCTTACATACCCATTTTCACTATTCCAAATAAAGATGATTGAATCTCTGAGCTGACAAAAGGGTATAATCAAAACTAAAAATTGAATCGAGGAAATAGAGAATATCGGAAAGAAATTGGAATCACAGACGAAGGAGCTTCGTTCTCATCATCACTAAATGAAAACGTTTCGGATTCTTTTTGTTTTTGTTTTTGACATCAACGTTTCGGATTCTTCTTATTGATTAGCGAGTAGTCTAAAGATCTAAAAGGGTTTGTAGGCCTGGCCCTGGGCTTTGGCCGGGCTGTATGCTTTATGTAATGAATTGTACTGCAGACTTATAAAATGCAGGATGTATTTGTAAATTTTAATTTCATAATATTATATGAAAACAGTGCGGTTTTGTTTTTTTAAGGGTTCTAATGGTGACAGCGTATTTAGTTGTGCGGGAAAAGTAATTTAAAAGTGTAGTACGGGTCAACTGAAGTATGCGGGAAAAATACATTTGCAGAACAAGTGTGGTTAATATAGAATAAGCGGTACAAAATTAGATTTGATTGATAAAAAAATAAGATACGGTAAAAGCATAATAATTATCATATTGTAAAAATTATTTATAATATTTGAAATTATCAAAACATATTTTTCATATAAAAATTCATAAGAGAACAAGATTTATTTACCATTTTTTAATATTTTTTTTTATAAACAAAAACAAAAACTGCAGTTGAAACACGCTAAAAATGAAGCTTTTTAAAAATGCACAATTTTGATCACTTTATGGACCGTATTTAATACTATTTGCAAATTTTTAATATATTTTTGTAACAAATTAAAAAAAACGATTTATATATATGATAACTTGATAGAAGCAAATGACGTTTTTAGTCCAAGTTGGCAAAAACTGTACCGCCATTTTATTACCATTCACTACCTAAAAAAAAAGTATAAGTGCGATCCAATTTTGTGAAGGAATATGTGAAACCGCACATAATAGTATAAAGGATGGTAATTTGATGCGTTATAAGCTTTTATGAGCGGTTTTGTTAATATATATGCATATATATATATATATATATGATTTATTAAAGATAAATATAAGAATAAAAAAAATTAAAGAGCAGCGTATTAGTTACAAAAAGATTATGATACAATTATAAAACTAGGTAATTAGCCCGCACCTTATGCAGGCACAAGAGTTTCATAAAATAATTACATCATTAAATTATTAATTTTGTTAAAAAAAATCTTCCAAAATATAAGAACAATATTAGACATTCGGCCATTACCATTTATTCGTATTTATAATTATAGAAAGTTTTTTCTGATTATTTTTTATCTCTTCCTCAACAGAACTCTTTCTATTTTTTCGTAAATGTGTGTCATTCTAATTGGTTATTTCACGCGTTTTCCTTCTTCTTTAACATATTTGGTTTATGTTTCTTCTTCTACTTAATCGTCTTTGACTTTGACTTATTCTTTATCATTTTTTATCCTTTTCAACAATTATTCTTTTTTTTTATATGATTGTCTTCGTCTTCCGATTTTTCTTTTTATCGTTTTCGTCTTCTCTGGCTTATTATTCTTTTGTTTCTTCTTCATCTTATCTTCAACCTCAAATTCTTCCGCTTCGTCTTTTTCTTCTTATTTTTTTAGTTTTGTTTATCGTCTTCCTCATATTTTTCTTTTCTCCTTTTCATCATATTCAGTTTATTCTTCTTATTCATCACATTTGTCATCTTCAATTCCTTCTACATATTTTTTCAGTTTTTATTCATCATCTCCAAATCCTTACCTTCCTCCTCCTTCTTCTTCTTTGATGTCTTGGTCTAATCTGCATTTTTATTCTTCTTACGGTTTTTATTTTCTTTGTCTTTGTCATATCTTTCTTGTCTTTTCTGACTGTTTTTATCTTATTTTTTTTCTTTTCGTTATCTTATCATTCTTCTTTTCCATCATCTTCGACTTCTCCGAATTATATTTTTCTATTCTCACTCTTCCTGTTTTTTCTTCTCACTATTCTTCATCATTTTCCTTCTTTATTGTCTTTTTATTTTTTCCTTCGTTGTCTACTTTGTCATCTTAAAGTTATTCTTCTTCTTTATTATCTTCTTCTTCCTTGGCTTCTTTTTTATTCAGCTTTGTCTTCATTTTCTTCTCCCGGATTTCTTCTTCCTCTTCTTGTTCCCTCTCATTTCTACATTTTCTTTGTATTTCTTATTCTTCAGATGTTTCTTTATCACATCATTGTCTTCTTCCTCGCCATATAACCTTGTATCTAAGTATTCCATTATTGGTTTCCATTAATCTTTTTTTTTCTCTCTCTAATTATATCTATATATATATATATATATATATATATCTCGTTCCCTCTTTCCCTCTTTCTTTCTAGAATCTCCTAATTATGTTATAGTGATGGAACTTTCAACTATTTTAATTTAGATTAAAGTGATTTTATAGAACGACTCGCCTAAAAGTTTATTTTTTTAAAGCTAGTTATTTCTAGATAGATATATGTTTGACTATTCTAATAATGTATCAAGAAACATGATGATTCTTAGAGATAATATGGGGTAGAAATGTATCACTCTTCAAATCTGCTAATTTAACAGATGACTACAAAAGTCATATGCTCTCTCTCTTCAACAATTTGGCCAACTATGATATCAACAATTATTCTTAATCTCTTTATCCAAACGTACAATAAAAAAACATTAAAAATACATGCTATATGTTGATTCCACTTTGCTTCATTCCTAAATACTGTCATAATATCCGCAAAGGTGCATGGATCTCTAGCATAATCCAATAGAAATCTCAAAAGATCAACCTCTCTCGGACAAGACTCCACAACACATCGGGTGATCCCAGAAGTCAAGATCTTCATAGTGTAGCATACCCTCTTGAACATAGAATGAAGAACACCATCAACAGTTTTAATATCCTAAAAATAACACGGACCTCTCCTCACAAGCAATAGAAGGCGTAGATAATGAGTTCACCAGAATTAAGTGGACAATCCTCTAGCACACCCGAACTCCGAGAAACTGTGAGCCGGGTATCCATTCACATCGCTTCGGATCCCATACCCATCTAGAAGGGATGTTGGAATATAACAATGTCATTGCCGCTGGATTAAGTTGATTGCATTCCATCCAAGATATCAATTTGCTTTTGTTCTTCGAGTCAGACACGTTGACATCATCATAGATGGAATTTTGTGGTAAAGGAAGATGCACCGGCAAATAACCAGAACCCTATAATTATGAAAGAACACATATTAATGGATTTCAATTATGATTAATAGCACGGAACAGAATCAAAGATAAAGTTAAAAGAAAACTATACCTTTTGGCATCATATTCAGTTGCAAAAACAATGAGAAAGGAAGCAGAAACGTGTTTAGCCAAATCAAGCTAGGGTTTTTGGTTTAGAAAACTAAAGACGTAATGAGAACAGAATAACAGAAGAATATTATTGATCAGTGAAATATTTATTTTGACCATGTTTTGTTCTATACGTATTTATACTTATAAAATAAAAAGCATAAACGATATTTGTAAGGATAATAACTGTTAGCATGTATATATCTATTTAAATAAGATAGTGGAGATTAATTGTTAATTAAAGATGAGGTGAGTGGATGGAAAAGTTTAGGGGTTTTTTTTTTGTACTCTTAAATTTTCGATTTTTAGATGTTTTTTTTTAATTAAAACAATAATTGAGATATATAGAAAACTATGGTCCTTTTTAAAAAAAAAGGTAGATTAATAAAGTAATAGTTTGTTTTTAATTAAAACAATGATTGAGGTGTATAGAAAATAATTTTCGTTTTTAAAAAATATATTAAGAAAATAATAGAAAATAATGGTCCTTTTTTAAAAAAATATATATATATTAAGAAACTAATAATTTTTTAATTAAAAAAATAGTAGATTTTAAAAAACTATAGTCGATTTTTTATTTAAAAACATATTTAATTTAAAGATAAGATTATATTTTACTAAGATTATTAAATTTTAACAAAATTTAATTTGAATAGAGTAAAAGACTAATAACTAAACTTAATTTGAACCAAGTTAAAGGCTAATATAGACTTTTTAATGAGGGACAAGATGATAATTAACCACTTCCAAAATCAACGAGAGAGCTGAAAATCAAAAATTTACTTTGCTTATAATATATATATATATAATTAAATAAATTTAATTTGAATAGAGTAAAAGACTAATAACTAAACTTAAACTAAGTTAAAGGCTAATATAGACTTTTTAATGAGGGACAAGATGATAATTAACCACTTCCAAAATTAACGAGAGAGCTGAAAATCAAAAATTTACTTTGCTTATAATATATATGATTTGACAACTATTTAGGGGATTTTCAGTCCTCTGTAGGGGTAAGTCTCCTGCAAAACCAAAAAGCATGTGAAGATCCAGAAAATACGTTTGAGGTATATTTTCTGATGGTTCTCCGACGCTCAAGTCAGAAAACAGTGAAAAAGACCATGAAGTGGCTAATCAGAGAGAGGAAAGAGATCGAAAACGAATGAAAAAAAAGCAGGCCGAGCATTCCTAAGAAAGGTAGAATCGATTCAGGTCTTTGAGTGGTGATGGGTTTTTCAGGGTGAAAAGAGAAGAAATACTAAAGTTTATGGGAGGAAATGCTCTACGATTTAGGAACCGCTGTGGAGAGAAATTGAAATGATAGTCGGAGTAATGATAAAAAGTATAAAGTGTTAAAGCTCAAGGATCACAAGTATCTAGAGAGATAATATAAACCTTAAGATAGCGAAAAGAATGAACCCCTTTCTCGTTGGAAGGAACAAAGTATTTATAGGATTTTACTTGATCTGGTTAGTATACCGCGTTAGTCCTCGGGTTATGATTTGGGTGGATCGGTCCACGAACTGATTTGACTGGATCTGAATTTTGTGCTTGCATCATAGCTCTGACAATTTTACTAACTTTTTTTGGCTTGTTCTGCCTACTGCAAGATTGCTACTTGGCGCATTTCGTTCGTCCTCACCTATTTTTCTTTATCCGAAATAATTACCTTCTCCTTCATCCACCCTTTTTCGGATCCTAGTTTTCTGGATTTTTTACTATCATATATCCCCATATGTTTAAATGTTTGGGTTGATAATCTTACAAAAGGAGCTCACGCATGAAGTCAGTCATACCAAACTTGTCGAAGATGGTTTACGAATCAATCTTCTGACTAGCCAAATGTGATGTAACAATTGAATATAAAAAAAAAACAAACAAATAAATTGAATGGAACAAGCAAGGGGAGGATATGTTAATATCGTAATTTCGTCGAACACCTGGTGAACAAACTTAGCGCACCTCACAAAAACTCGAGAGGGTTTAAGGATTTTTCGCAGTCTTGGGGAAGCAAAAACTTCCCAAAATGTCTATAACTCGAATTTTTTCGACTCTTCTCAGAGGAACTCATCGGACCTCACGTTCCTTTTCTTCTTCGCGGGCTCCTTGGATCGCCACCGCTTTTGCTAATTCACTCTCCGGTAACTTCCCTTAGTATTTTTAACCTCTTTCTTCGCTTTATCAAAGCCGATTGTAACAATTCCTGAAAGTTTTCTTCATTCTTGCTTGTGTAGCTTAGATATTTTTACTTGTTCTCACAATGATCAAGTTTCATAGTACCCTTTCATTGGAAAATTGTTACTAAGTCGTGTAAATTGGTATCGATATGTGAAATGTTTGTAATTTGAATAAAGTGATACGCTTTGAATACAATGTGATCTGGGTAATCATTTCAGCCTTTTAGGTGTGATCATGTACTTAAATCTGAGTAGGTATGTTGTTTATTGACCTAAAAGGAGGAGTCTTTAATTGCAGGGAAACCGAGGATTTCGTATCGAAATGATTCTCGAGGTCACTTGGATCCTCGGCATTGGATGATTTTGGCAGGACAAGCTGGTGTGTATCTATCTAAGCTCAATGTTGATTATTTTGTTACGTTATGATTCCAATTTCTCACTGTTGTTTTTGTGCTATTTTGATATGGTTCCTTCCTTTTTCAGCAATCCTTGGGTTTTGTGGGAACGTTGTATTGGCAGATGGTGAGCCTATTAAGTCGAAACCTGGAGGTAGTATTGATGAGAGTGGCGATAATGGGCTCGAAAGAATTGAGGACAGTTCGGTTGTATCTAATATACACACATCTAAGTGGAGGGTGTTTACTGATAGTGGAAGAGATCATTTCTTTCAGGTTGGTTGATATATTTGAAGAATGAAGTCAATCTGTTTTTTTTTTGTTCTTGCTTGATAATTTTCTCACATTTTATAGGGGAAACTAGAGCCGGCCGAGAGGCTATTCGGTTCGGCAATACAGGAAGCTAAGGAAGGTTTTGGAGAGAGGGATCCACATGTTGCATCTGCATGCAACAATCTGGTTGGTCTCTGTGGACTTCATTAAGCTCTTATAGTTTCCTAGTCATACTGCTTGTTCATTTCATATGAAATGCATGAAAAAATGTATTAGCGTCTCAAATATGGTCCTCTAAGGCTAGCGTCTCGAATATGGTCCTCTAAGGCTAAGTGTTTAACATTTTTACTGTTTTCCACTGAGGAATATATATGCATTTAGATTTTTATCATTTTGGCACAATGGTGTCTTATTCAGTCTCTTTCTTAGAAGTTTCATTCTTGATTCTCCAAAAGTTTTCACTTTAACAGTGCTCTGCGTTTCATGATTTGTTACTTCTTGTTTTCTTAGACTAAACGCTTTATATTTTCCTTCCTCTATGTAAGGCAGAGTTATATAGAGTTAAGAAAGAATTCGACAAAGCAGAGCCCTTGTACCTGGAGGCTGTTAGTATATTGGAGGAGTCCTACGGTCCTGAAGATGTGCGGTGAGAAATCATTATCTTTTGATCTGACACTTAATTACATGATTGCCTAGAAATATGAGAGTTGTAGCATGAATTGTGTTGCAATCTACTTTTTCTTTTGGTTGTTATTGTTCTCTTCATTTATCCAACAAGATTCTTAACAATGCAGTGTTGGTGCTACTCTACACAACCTTGGACAACTCTATCTTGTCCAGCGAAAACTTGAGGAAGCTCGTGCGTGCTACGAGGTAATCACCCTTTTTGAATGTACTTGTCTCTTTGTAAAGTCTTATCGTTTGCCTATTATTATTTGTCAAATGATAACCCTTACATTCTGTGATGCTGACTTCTTATTTTTTATTTTTATTTTTTTTTTTTTTTGCTTCTTCCCTGCGCAGCGTGCTTTAAAGGTATGGATGTGATTAAGCTTTATTATTATTTTAATTAAAACTTAGCTTCTTCTTATTATTTCCTGTGATCCTAATCTAGATGAAAAGACGAGTCCTGGGACAAAATCATCCAGATTATGCAGAGACAATGTATCATCTTGGAACGGTACTCTCATGTTTCACTTTTTATTGTCAAAAATGGAATACTTTTTTTCTTTTCTTGTGCTTAAGCTTCTGGCATCATGTATTTGTTTATATATCTATAGAGGACCGTGATATCCTGCCTTTTGCTCATTCAGACTTGTGATGAATTGTATCTAATATCACAAATCTGACTTGAAGTCTGATTCAATCCTTCGTGTTAAACTTCCTTCTAACATACGATTCGACACTCGACAGGTATTACATCTGCAAGGAAAAGAAACAGATGCGGAGGCTCTTATTCTGGATTCTCTTAAAATACTAGAGGCATGTCGATAATCTAATGATAACTGATATATGTGCCATTGTGACATTCCATTTTGTCAGTTGTATGCTTATTATCGTATTTTTTATTTTTGTTGTGTAGGAAGGTGGTCAAGGAGAGTCCATGACATATATCAGGAGACTGAGATATCTTTCTCAGGTTTTGTGGCCTTAAACTTTGCATGTAATTTGGATTTGGCCTTCTGTTTTCACGATGCATTGATTTGAACAAAGCATGAAATGGACAAGATCCAATCAACCGCAGAAATTGTTAACATTTCAGTGATTTCACTTTCTCGTCTATTGTTCCAGATATATGTACGATCGAATCGTCTGGCTGAGGCTGAAAGCATACACAGGAAAATATTGCACATGATGGAATTATCAAAGGTGTTGTTTTGTTTTTCTTAGCTTTCATTTAGTAGCTATTTCTTATGAGTATTTCTCCAATGATTTAACATTTTACTTCCAACTACCTGAGTATAAGTCTCTAATATAGTGCAGTTAGAGGTCTATAATTGAAAAGATAATATTTTCAATTTTGGTTAACTTAAATGTAGTTATGATTTTGACTGTTTACTATGCATCGATCATAAGTTGATGAGATCACCTTTAGCTGTGCTTTCATGATTTTAGTTTTAAGTTCTTAATGGCTTAAAACATATCACAGGGATGGAACTCAATGGAGGCAGTAACTGCAGCTGAAGCATTAGCGCTTACTCTACAATTATCTGGGAAGCTGAAAGAAGCTCTAGAACTTTTTGAAAAGTGAGCACATAATAAACTCTTGCTTGATCGGTTTATCAGAGTATTATGAGGATCCTCAAATGTTCATGATAATTCCTTGTTAGGTGTCTCGAAACTCAAAAAACTTTACTTCCAGAAGGACACATCCAGGTTCACTCTCTTCTCTCATAAAAATTCATCTTTTATATTGGCAATAGAGTATTCATCTTCTCTCCTTTGCTGGATCGATAGATAGGTGGAAACTTGCTGCACATCGCAAAGACGTTTATGCTTCAGGCTAGTCAATTGAGAAGAACTGATAACAGTGAAGCTCTATCTAAACTAGAAAAAGCAAAGAATTATCTTGAAAATTCAGCTAGGTTGGTGTCTATATCTATCTCTCTCTTGTCTCAGCTATGTTCTTTAATCTTCACATAGAAGAATGTAAGGAAAAAAACTTGTTTGTGGTTAAAACCAGGATAGCAAAAGACGTTCTGCTTAAGCTAAAAAACCAAAAGAGCAAAGAGCAGAAATCCAGCGGGACTCTAAGGAATTATGAACACGCAGCTTTAGTCATACTGGTAGGTCTCATTAAAACCAACACTTATATGTATATTTGTGTTTGAATTTTCTTAAGAACATCACGTTTGGGTCCTTTCTGTTTCTTTTGTAGCTGCAATCTCTTGAGAGTCTTGCAGTTTTGGAGATGAGCAAGAATGAGATTGAGGAGTCAAAGGTTAGTATTGTAATAAGAGAGTTCAATGCTGCAAATGCAGATTATTATTATAGATTCAGACACTATCTTTCAGCTCATTTGACTAGGTTCTATGTACTTGGCTTGATGATGAACACTGACTTAACTTTGTATTGATGCTTTGTGCTAAACAAAAACCTTGTTTAAACTTATTGATTCATGACATTGCAGGAAAAGCATCCGCATGCAGCTGAAGATGCACTTGCCCAATGTCTTTCAGCTTTTAAAGAGGTAAAAAAATTGATCTCTTCTCCAAAACCGGCTTGTTGAAGAGAAACAAAACTCTTGATTGTCTGCAAGTTTCTTGAATCCACTATATATGCTAATCTTTAACTCTAACTTACTAATTTATATATACAGTTGATGAACTTTGCTCTGTTTCTTATGACCACTGATAACAAATATCGACTCGATGATCTTTAAGAATACTTTGTTCTTCGTCTTTTGTTTTTTCTGTAGTTTGGTTGTGGAACTCAGCTACAAGATTCTGCAGAAGTAAAAACTGAATACCTCTCGTGTCTTAAGCATCTCTCGGCTTTATTAGACAACAAAGAGGCAACGCTTAACTCCAAGGCAAGTCCTATTTCTTTACAAGAGCTGAAGGAAGAAGTTAGGCGTATTGACATCGATCTCCGTTCGCATAAGAAAGGCTAAAAAGGTTATGAAAAAGAAATGGTTTTTTTTTTTCTTTCTCATATTGAATAAAGGATTATATAGAGATCCAATTGTCGACCAATAATCATTTTTTTTTCCAGTTTAGACTAGTAATATGATTTATGGTGATGACGTAACAGTGTTAAAAACAAAACTAATAATATGAAGAACTGACAATTTATCTCTGTCTCTATACTTTTGTGTTTTGAATCATTTTCTCTAAAACCTATGATGGGCAAACTACCCGGAACCGGATTGGAAATAATAAATATCAGAATGGTTTCTGATAAACAAAAAAATCGAGATATTCTAAGCAAAACGAAACCAAAAGCTGAATGGATACCCTAATTATCCTAATACACAATTAAATACCGAAATTTTGATTTTTTAAGATTTGAGATAACAAAATTACAATCACACCGAAGATATTAATTATGTTTTTGGACCAAAATAACTAAATATCTTTAATTATATTTGTCAGAATTATAAAAAGAATTGCAAAATCAAACCAAGTTACAATTTTATATACAGAATTGGATATATCAGGTAGTTGGAAATAAATATCGGATAACTCAAATTTTGTTGTTTAGTATATTTTCTCGGATATGTCTTCTGATACGTACTTTTAATGTTATTTGTTGGTATTCCAATAATCAGTTGAACAAATGATAAAAATTACTTTTTGCTAAAATAACAGAAAATAAAATAATTAAATATTAATGTTATTTGTTGGTATTCCAATAATCAAAGTGTATGCTTATATATACACAGCATGTCTGTTTTTATAGTTTACCATTATCATCAATTTTAGAATTTAATTCATAACTAGCACAAAATTTGCACATGTATGTGTTTGTGTTTTACTATATCGAGTATGATCAATAAATAGTAAAAACAATTTTGATTTATATTTGATATTCATTTATCTGTAAACTCTCTTGCAAAATCTTTGATGTGAACATTGGAAGATGGTAAAAAAAAATTAAGCATGCTTTCATATCTGTTGGTTTTTAATATAATTTTAATTGTGTTTTCTGGATTTACTCAACTTCAGCTTATGTTAGGGATCAACTTAAGCAGGAGTTTGGTTCTTCCTTACGCTGATGAAGAATGCAATTTGAAACCCAATACACTCAAATCTTGGTGCTTTCACTTGACCTAAAACAGGATTATTCAAGGCGCTGGTTGACTTCATCGTAAACACAAGACCACATCCCATAAAACATTTTCAAAAAGGTAAATATGTTAATAAATATTTGATGATTTAATAATTGCTATAACATTATTTAACTTTGGTATTTTTAGGTCTTCATTTTCTCTAGAAAACAAGAGGATTATACTTGAACTTTGGATTGGTTGCAGCTGGAACTCTTGCCGCTCACACGACAAGAAAGAAGAACTCTCGAACTTTGTTCAAGCTAGGGCTTTTGTGCAGCCAAGGTAATTTTGTTGATTCACTTTCTTAGTCAGCTGGCAAATAAATTTGCATCTCATATGGGCTAAAAAGAGTTAGAGATGAAGAGTGATTAATACATCCAGTGCGTTACACCAACCGAATATTATAAAAAAAATCAATCATTTGGAATGCGGCTTAACTGCAAACACAAGAAATTAAAACATAAAAAAAAAAATTAAAACATTAAAACTACCGTGGACATGACAATTGACAAGTAACTAGAACGACGTCGTTTCATGCAAATAAACAAAACGCTGTATCGTAGTTCAAAACGCAAGTTGATGGAGACTAAACGCTAGTTCAATATCGTTTTTCTTCCAACAGATTCCCCTCCCTTGACACGGCTTCCACTCCCGTTTAGTTCTTCTTACGATATATGCCTGATCTAACCTGTTGATTCTTTTCTTCAATTTCGATTCTCCCTGGCAATTTTTTTGGGTGAATTGGTTCTCTTTCTCTTCAATCGAATAGAGGGTCTTACAGTGAGTATCCCCAATTTCAAAATTATCTGAAAAAAATCTACTGCATAAAGTCTTCTCTTTTCCTTAGACATTGCATGTTTAATTGTTTAATTACTGATTGTTATATTTGTTTCTTGCGGCAATTTCAAATTATCTGCAAATCTTCAATTGTTAGAAAGATCTATTGCGAAAAAGTCTTCTCTTTTCCTCGGACATTGCAGTTTGCAGATCAGCTTAGGAAACAGACAAGAATGGCCTCTGATAGAGAAGACTTTAGCCTCTGTGGACCCTCACACCTCACAAATCTTGATTGGTATGTTTTTGTTTCTTGCGACTACACTGTGATGGTAACGAGATTTTGATTGATTTGTATACTTTACTTTGTCGTTTCGAATATGTTTTGTTTCTTGATTAGTATACTTTGTTAATCTTGATTGGTATGTTCTGTTTAATTAATTGGTATACTTTCTCTCATGATCTCATTCAATCTGATGTAATTCTGACACAAAACTTGATTGGTATGTCTTTGTTTCTTTACTCTTGTCCATGAATTTGATTCAATCAACCAAATAAAACCGTTTGTGAAACTTTGTGGTGGCCACATATTTTACCAAATGGTTCCTAAGATTTTGTCTTTTGTATATTCAGGGCAAACGAAGATCACCAACGTTGTGTAGCAGCTTGTTTAGTTCAAGGAATCTACATAGTAGAGCGTGACCGTCAGCTTAAACGTGAAGGCCCTCAAGCTCTTGCATCTCCATGGTGGGAGTTTTTCAGCTTCAAACTAATCCGTAACCTCGTAGACGACGCAGATTTCTCCATCTTTGGCGGCATTTACGAATTCAAACCTCCACAAAACGAAGAAGACAACACCACAGTCGTCGTCTCTGGAGCAGCTCCACGGTATGTCATAGCCTTTAGAGGAACATTGACTAAACCGGACTCAATATCCCGTGACATCGAGCTAGACATCCACATTATCCGGAACGGTCTCCACAGAACGTCTCGGTTCGAGATCGCTATGCAAGCCGTGAGAAGCATGGCTGCTTCTTCTGCTTCTAGCGGTTCAAGCCTCTGGATAACGGGCCATTCAATGGGTGCAGCCATGTCGCTTCTCGCTGGCAAAACATTGGCAAAGACTGGAGTTTACATCAAATCGTTCTTGTTCAACCCTCCATTTGTGTCTCCACCGATAGAGAGGATAGCAAACGAGCGTGTTAGGAGCGGGATTAGAATCGCTGGGAGCATAGTCACTGCAGGACTTGCTCTCTCAAGAACACTCAAACAAACTCAGCAGCCTCAGCAACAGCAGTTGCAAGTACGAAACTTGTCTGAAGATCCGCTAAAGGCTCTAGCTTCTTGGCTTCCTGACATACATGTGAATCCAGGAGACCATTTATGTTCAGAGTACATCGGGTTTTTCGAGCACAGGGGAACAATGGAACAGTTTGGTTATGGAGCAGGGATCGTTGAGCGGATGGCGATGCAGCATTCTTTGGGAGGTTTGTTGATGGATGCGATGGGAGTGAGTAATGCAGTGGAAGTAGAAGAGCCGGTTCATGTGATCCCATCTGCTAAGCTGATAGTAAACCGGACCGAATCTGTAGATTACAAGGATGCTCATGGGATTCATCAATGGTGGAGAGATGATCAAAATTTGGTTTCCAACATTTACTTGTACAAATAGCTCTCTCTTCTTTCCTTACCGAACCAGACCATACTTAACCGAAAATGATTTGGTTTTTCCGATTGCAATACCCTTCATTGTGTGTTGTGTGTACCACCATATTATGATTTAGTTTATAAAACAAGAATTCAAACACGGAAGATAGTCCAAGAAATGCTTTAAGATCTCTTTCTAGTATATGAACTGTGTTACTAAGAGCATGTACATTAAGAGGGGTTCACCAGAATACTATATTTTTTTTTTGGTTTTGAGTTTGTGGAAGAACTTGTACCAATTTTTAGGTTCCATTGGTGAACTTCAAACTTGGGTTCATCAGGAATACATTTTTTTTTTTTAAATTCAAAATTTTTAATTTTGATAGTACATGTAAACACACAATTATTATAAATCAAGATTACAAATTTTTTCTAATATAACACATTGCAAGTAACACATTGATATAATGGATAAACTGAATTAAATAAGCTGCAATGTAACCAGAAGAAGCTTTGTGAACAGTTTCAACAAGACATGGATACAATGGATACAATTCAGAATCCTCCTGCGTTTGGTCCAGCCGGAGGCTTTGACCCAAGCAATAGTGCTTCTAGTTTGGCCATTTCCTCTGTTTTCACACTCTGTTTCTCATCACTAGCGTTTCTATGGGGTTCTGATCTAAAGTTGGTTCGTCTTTGATTCACACTCTGTGATCAGTTTAGCGACAGCGGCTGGTTTTTAGACGTGAGGAAGATGTCCACAGTCTGATATTTGAATATGCTTAGTGGAGAGAGAGAGAAAACGCTAACCCAAGCTAGCTTGTTGCTAATGATTTGGTCATCCTCTCCCCATAGTATCAGTGTCTTCTGTGAAACCTGCAGTCAAAATCTGTTGAGTAGCCTGCAACAGAACATGGACAGTAACAAAAGAAATACAAGCAAGCATTGAACAAGGATGCAAAGTTTCTCTTCTTGATTCTTTTCTCTTCAAGAGGAGCTGGAAATGATTAAAAAGCTACCTTTTTTATAAGAGAAGTAACGTTGTATCCTCCGCTTGTCATAAAACTAACAGTTGCATCTTCCCACCAAGGATATAGACAATGCAAGCGACCAATCTAGGTTGAGCTTGAAAACGAAAAATCAGATTGAGAGCTAAGTTTATCGATAAGGACTCCCAAGAAAAGTTTGTTTACCTTTGTCCAGTCCCAGCTAACATCTATCAAACGAGCTCATCACTTCTATAAGGTGAGAGAATCAGTAAGCCTCAACATCATAAGTAGGGAAACACAACTACACAATCCAAAATTCCACGTCTATAATCCACAATTAGGGCCTTAAACAATGTAAAATATTCACAAATGATTTACAGAGCTATCTAACAAAACGAAAAATCAGAGAAATCAGAAAGCATCAACAATAAAACAGTGGTAAATCAGAAAGCATCTCATAAAGATGTATAGAAATACAAACCCAGATGAACAAAACCACATCGAGAATCGAAGTTGCCACCGTCGTCGTTGGAAATTGAACCTTCTTCTCGTCATCAAATGGAATCGAAGTTGGAACTGCCGATCTCCAAAAACGAAAATCTTGATGATAACATCGTCGCTTCAATGGCTGTGCTCTTTGACAGGTACAACTATTCAGCCGAGGCACGAAGCAAAGCATAGAAGCTGAATTAACTAAATAGAGAACAGTTTGATTAAGGCATAAACCCTACCAAATTGACAGACAAAGAGTTTTAGAAATTAATGGAAGAAGAGTTTCAGAAATCGCCTGGGAAGAAGATGAGAGAAGCAGTCGTGTGAAGGAGAAAAGAAAAGGTCCGATGTCAAAAAAAAAAATTTGTCCCAAAATTTTTTGACCAATTAGATTTTGCCATGTGTGAATGATAATTGGACGATACCGTCTCTTTAAACTTTTCGGGAAAACTCGTTCATCAATATTGGATCATTTTTTTTTTTTTTTAAATGGTTTTTGCCTATGACTTTGGGCCATAAACTTCCACTTGAGGTGCTATAAAAGTGCTCTTGTAATTTGCAACCGATAAAAATCAATTAAACAAAATTAAACCAATTTTAAGTTTTTATTTTTTTTTAAACCATAAAATCAGATAAATGATTTTGTTTCCACTTTCAAAGTAGCTAAGCGTGGAGCGAAAGAACGAGCAAAGCTAATTTATAAACCCTTAAAACCCTTTCCTCCAAGAATTCAACTTTTTACAAATTCCACTTTATTCTCTTCTCACGAAGTACAATTCTTCTCCGAATCTATGGTAAAATTGAAACTCCCACTAAGATTCTTGTGATGATACATTGCAAGCCGAATGATCCAAAGATCATCATCATCTTTCCTTTACTCGGCGTCAATCAAAACCCTTTTAAACCTTTGCAAATCTGAGATTCAGCTTCATCAAATCCATGCCAGAATCATCCATAAGGGTCTTGAGCAAGACCAGAATCTCGTCTCCATCTTCCTCTCTTCGTCCTCCTCTCTCGTTTACTCTTCCTCTGTTTTCGAGCGCGTTCCTCATCCTTGCACTAATCTCTGGAACTGCTTCATAAAAGGGTACTCTAAAAGGTTTCTCTTTTTCGAGACTGTTTCGCTTCTTGTGCGTATGATGAGACAAGGCTTGGCTCGGCCTGATGTGTATACTTTCCCTTTGGTTATGAAAGTTTGTGCTAACAATGGACAGGTCCGTGTCGGGTCAACGGTTCATGGATTGGTTCTGCGAATTGGGTTTGATAAAGATGTGGTTGTGGCTACAAGCCTCGTTGATTTCTATGGCAAATGCAAGGACTTGTTGAGTGCACGCAAGATGTTTGGTGAAATGCCTGTGAGAAATGCGTTTTCTTGGACGGCTTTAATTGTATCCTATATGAAATCCGGGGAGTTAGAGGAAGCGAAGAAGATGTTCGATGTTATGCCTGAGCGTAAACCGGGATCTTGGAATGCATTGATCGATGGGTTTGTGAAATCCGGAGATTTGGTGAATGGTAGGAAGCTGTTTGATGAAATGCCTGACAAAGACATAATTTCGTATACTTGCATGATCGATGGATATGCTAAAGGCGGTGATATGCGTTCCGCTCGGGTTTTGTTTGACCAGGCGAGAGATGTTGATGCTAGAGCATGGTCAGCTTTGATATCGGGTTATGTACAGAACGGCCAGCCAAACGAGGCGGTGAAAATTTTCTACGAATTGTGTGAGAAGAATGTGAAGCTTGATGAGTTTCTGATGGTGGGTTTGATGTCAGCTTGTTCTCAGATGGGTAACTTTGAGTTATGTGAACAGGTTGATTCTTATCTGCACCAATGGATGAACAGGTTCTCTAGTCATTACGTTGTGCCTGCTTTGATAGACATGAATGCCAAATGTGGCCACATGGACAGAGCAGCAAGATTGTTCGAAGAGATGCCTAAGAAGGATCTTGTTTCCTACTGTTCGATGATGGAAGGATTGGCTATTCATGGGTGTGGAGGCGAAGCTGTTCGTTTGTTTGAGAAAATGGTAAATGAAGGTATTCTTCCAGATAAAGTTGCCTTCACAGTAATATTAAAAGTTTGTGGCCAAGCAGGGCTTGTTGATGATGGGTTAAAGTATTTCGAGTTGATGCGTAACAAATATTCCATTGTGGCGTCTACTGATCATTATTCTTGCATTGTGAGTCTTCTTAGCCGGTGTGGGAAGCTCAAAGACGCATATGAGCTAATCAAATCCATGCCTGTGGAAGCTCATGCTAGTGCTTGGGGTTCGCTTTTGGGTGGTTGTAGTTTACATGGAGATACCGAGATTGCTGAAGTAGTTGCAAGGCGACTCTTTGACCTTGAACCGCAAAGTGCTGGTAGCTATGTACTTTTGTCAAATATTTATGCAGCTTTAGACCGGTGGTCTGATGTCGCTCATATTCGGGATAAAATGAAGGAGAATGGCATCAAAAAGATTTCTGGTCGAAGTTGGACATGTCGATAATCTCTTGTCAAGACTTTGGTTCAACTTCACAAGACATACAGGCGAAAGCACCAAAGGAAGTTCACTTTTTGAAAATGGAAAGTGGTTGAAGAATGTAAACGATCTATGTTTGGACTTCACAGTTCACAGGGGCTTCTTTTGCTATCTAACAGATACAATCCTCTTTGGTGCTGTGCTTTGAGGGTGTCCAAGATAACAACCAAGAATGAGGCTAACAATAAGATTTTGTTTATGGTTTGATTTGTCTAAGAGCTCTCTCATTGCTTCTCTATTATTCAAGAAGGATGAAATCTTCAGGTGCATGGCCAAAATTGGAGGGGACAAAGATCTCTATTTTTTCCAATTGTCTAGTTAACAACTTTCTTGGCGCATCTCTTTGTGGATAAGTGAACAGACATTTATCATCTTTGGAGTGGTTTGATTCTTTTGTAACTATGGCAATGTAAGTTTCATGTGAAAGGTAAAAATCAAACCTTTTTGTGTCAATAACAAAAGCACCACCAAAATTGCCATATTTTTAAACCCACCAAAAAAAGTATAAAATCCCATTTATTCCCAATAATTCCAATGTTCAGGTGATCAACTTTCTTGTAGAGGTCGGAGGATAGTGCAAACTAGAATTCAAATCACTAATATATAATTACAAAATACTCCCGTAGCGCTAATTACTTATATGATATAACAATTTAACTAGTCAATTCTTGCAGCTAATTACATAGGTAAGCATGCATTAAGATCAAGTTCAATACATCATCACTCAAATTTCGGCAGTTATGAAATCGAGCTCATCTAAGCTAAGTTTAGGCAATAAAACTGTTTAAAATACTCTCTTGGTTTATTATACAAAGAAAAAAAAGGAAATATTTTATTGTATAGGAAGGAATATAGGAAATGCAGAATATGCGTCCGTCCAATTACAAAAGTACAACACTTTCTCTACGGAATAATTGATGTATCCACCAATGGACCCAAAAGCAAACACAACAACAACTACTCGTTTTCTAGTATTTATTAATAATTTTCACACACCCATACGTATTTATTTATCATATATATTTGAATCTTTCTTAGCCTTTCCCTTGGCCACTATTAACGTGTACCTTCCCAATTCCACAAACCCAAGAAAATTATAATCAATGAAACAATGCTTCCATTCCCCAACTACTACATTTCAACACCAACTATGTCCGAGAAGAAAAAGATCATCTCTAGCAATAGCAATGGTAGAAAGAAGAGATGGCCACCGTCTCTCTTCACCGGAGGAGGAGGCAGCGGAGGAGGAGGAGAAGATGAGCTGGCGACAGTGAAAGCTGCGGCGTGGGCTTGGTACCAAAGAAACGAAGGGAAACCAATGATTAGAGAGTTCGATCTCACGACAAGAGCCACAAGAACACCTCGGCCTTCGCGGTACAAGCTTGAGGCCAACAAGAACATGAATCTCCTCTCCGAGAACAAGGTTTCTAAATCTTGCACTAATCATTTGTTGCGTGAAGATCAAGAAACCAAGCTCTCTAGTCTTCTTGACTCATATGAGATCAAGAGTATTTCCAAGAGAATCGATGAGGGTTCTTTACCCGTTAATCGGGCCAGTGCTTTGAGGAACGATGATCATGTTTTTTTGAAGAAGAAGCTCGAATATGATAGTAAGAAACAGAATGGGTTGGTGACAAAAATGAGCATGAGAAATTTGTGGAAAGGAATGATTCTGATGTCTCCAAGGACAGTTTGTGGCAGAAGCGATGACGTGGACATCGGAGCTTATCGGGCTGGACCAAGAACAGTAAAGGTTGCACCGACGAGTGTCAAGAGGCGAACCGACCGTCGCTAACTGTATACTTTCTAGTTATTTGGGAGTACGTAAGTATATACGTTTGGACGTTTTAATGCTAAAGGGTCTTCTTATTCTATAACCTTGGATGGATTTTAACAAGTTTGTGTATGCTGTTTCGTTTTTCTTTATTTAGCTATTGTGTAAGTTTTGTTGATTACTATAACCAAACATATAATTATGCAATACTATTTATTAATTGCATGTATAATGAATTCTTTAAAATTATCCTCATTTCTCTTTATTTTTTTTGGAATCTCATCTTTTGATTAATACTGAACCGAGGAGAAGAAGAATATAAGTTGAGACAAGAGAGGAAATTTGAGACATAGAAGGAAGACGAAAAAGTCGTAGTAGGAAGAAGAGAAGAAGGAATTGAAGGCCAAATGACCTCATAAGGATAAAGCAAGGACCTGAAGTGACAAACAAAAGAAAGATTAAGGAAGCCAATGGGCCATCAATTGGTATCATACCCAATTGTTTAGAAGGGTGTCGTTTTAGAATAATGAACAAGGTACGGATCAGATATCTCGGAATTTTATGATATTCAAATCCAAATTTAGACTCGTTAGATCTTTTAAGTCGAGTTCTGTTGGACTTCTTCCAAGGGCAACTAGCCGCTCAGTCATACCTAACTGTCGTTTGGATGGTATGACAAATTATTTGGATTATCCAACTCTGCCAATACTCTCGGATTTCAGAATCCGCCAAAATAACTTAATATATTTAAAATACAATTAGAAAGTATTATATAGAAAAATAAATTGCATTGTATAAATAATAGTTCAAATTTTAGTGGATATTCAAAATAATACTCCAAACTAGAAATAAATTTTAGTTATTTGACTATATATTATTTGCTTTTTTCCTATATATATATATATATATATATATACACTATATATATATGAAAGCAAATCTTGATCATGATCTTGATTTTTACATTTACATTATCCAAAATGGTAAGCAGAATAAATGCAAAGGAAATATATTCAATCCACATTTAGAATCTTTTGCTTTTTTTTCACCATTCATAGATTTTATGCAGAACAAAAAATATTAACATAAAATTAATAGATTTGCATGCAGATATTTATTGCTCTAAAAACCCAAAAAAAAAAGTTCTAGAACTGTTCTAAAATATGTGCTATCCAATTTTGCATGCAGATCTAATTTATTTTTTTAATAATATTTTTTTTAATTTACTTTAATTAATCTGCATTATATGATATATACAGTAAGGTGAGAAATGAGGTCCAGTAAGGTGAAGATGAGGTCCAAAGTAGTACACTTGGATGATATGGTTCAGGCACATAATATTATATTTGATGAATTTAATGAAAAGCAAAAAGTTGTGATTGTATTAGTGACAGTTGTAAATTTGACGAGCAAAAAAGTTTGTGGCTTAGAAGTGCAAAGAAATTATATTTATACAAATTGAAGTTAAGATCGTTATTAGAGAGAACCCATTTGATGTTGAAAAACGGGATTAAACGCAAATTTAACCCTTAAACTAGTCATTTTATAGAGAGACAAAGCTAAGGGAAATGTTGTTGACTGGATCACAAGCAGAAGGTGTACCGACAAAGGAAGGAGAAGCAATTGTATACAAAATCTTAAGCGAGAGAGTCATGAGCAAATGATGGAGAGACAATGAAAGAATATCGGTAAAAAAGCAAAGTCAAAATCATTTAAGATTTATTTTCTTGTGTCGATTTAGACGAAAGATTATAGGGTACAATTAGGTAATATATAGTGTGATATTGATTATCTAATTGAAAATATTTTTTTTATCAGTTTTATATTGTCTAATATAGTGGTAGAAAATTAATTTAAAGTTAGTTAGCAAGATAATTTAGGTACTATTTATTATCTTGTCACTGATTTTGAACTAGAATATGACATGAACTTTTTATCTTTGAATTTTTCTTTTGCACACATTCTCATGTTTTCTGCATTGCTTATCCCAACAAGTATTAATTACATAAAAATCTATCTTGAAGAAATTGCTTTGACACTGCCATACAATAGATCCAATTTATATATGGGATATACATTAGATTTGGTGGATCTCTAGCTTCACCAAAAAACTAGGAATTAAATGAAGGTGAAGTAAGTGAAGAACTTATGGGTTACCGGATCATTACAACTGGCACTTTGACCCATGATTTAACCACTTTACTTGAAGTTTAGTGGTTTAAACTAGCCCTGGGCTTTCGGATATTCGGTTCGGTTCCGGGTAAGAACTGAACGGTTTCGGATATTTTGGTTCTCAAGTTTTAGATCCATATAGGTACCGAATTATTTTCGGTTCGGTTCCGGTTCGGTACCTCTCGGTTCCGGATCGGTTCGGGTATGAAGGATGAGAACCGTAAAATACCCAAAAGATTTCGGTTCTTAAATACCCGAAAAAATTTTGTTAACAAAAATAACCAAATAACAAAGAAGAAGCATGACTTGCGACTCTTGTGACCTGAAACTGCAAATACAAAACAAAAAGAGTTAAAAAAAACATTAGAATCATTAACAAAGAAGAAGTTAGCACTCATAATCTCATATATTAGACTGATAGTTAACACCATATGGATTTCATATATAAATAGTAAACTCTAAATCTATTTCTAAGTGAAGAGACTCTAGAGACTCGATTATTCAAGAGTAATTCGTTGTAAAAACGAAAAAAACAAAGAGGAAATGAGATCAATTTAAAATTTAAACAAACAGAAACAGTTAGCCCCAAAATCGATTTTAGCTATAAACAATAAACCCCAAACCCAAATAAATTCAAAGATGAGAAGGAGATGGAAAAGAAGCATACCCCCGACTGATTTTTTAACGTAGCAGATGGCTGTGCCGGCGAAGAAATGCTACAGCGACTGAAAATTAGGGATTTCAGTTTTTCTGAATGATTAGAGTTAATTTTTTAAGTATTAACGAAAGAAAAAAGAGAAACTGTTTTTATTTTACAACGATAAGTTGCATGTGTAGGTGTATAGTTTTGTATATGTCTTTTTTTTTTCCTTTGAATATGTGTCGAATTGTGGATAATGGGTTAGATCAATTTTGTAAAAATGACTTTGAATTACTAATGGGCCAATATTAGATTTGTAGCAAACTAATTGTTTTATATTAATGAGTAATAACCCAAACTTATACATAATTTTCGGGTATTTGGTTCGGTATTTTCGGTTCCGAGTAATAACCGGATCCGAACCGATATCCATGGATCTTAGATATAAGATCCAATGGGTATTTAGGCAATAACCGAAACCGAACCGAATCGAAAATTTCGGGTCGGTTCTGGTGCGGTATTTCGGTTCCGGTTCTTATGCCCAGGGTGAGTTTAAACTTTTGAAATGTGAAATAGCATGAGTCCGCTGCTTTTGACTATTTAACATACCAGCTGTTCATAGATATACACCACTAGGATCACACGCACACAAATACCCATTACAAATATTTAAATTCACAATTGTAAATCGAAGATGGTCCCTCATATGTGAATATGTGATAGCTCTATGTGTGGCAGTCCCAAAAGACGTGGAGTCATTCAGTTATCTATGCATCATTAATTTACAGGAGAAAAGGAAAATATTTTTACTTTTCTCGTTTTAAGTTACCCGGTTTCCGTGGAGTTTGCGGGTACTCAATTTATCATAAAAAGCCGGGTTAAACCAGTTCTTCAACCGGGTCTATGGGTTGATTTTGTCTGCTAGTGGCTATCTCGTTTTTCTTGCTTATGGCTCTTTGGGTTGATCGATGCTTTTTGTAGTTCCATCTTATCTTGTTGTTGTAAGTTTTGCTTTTTGGTTTTTGTTTTTCTCTTGTGTGGGTTTTTGGCTCCGGTGTCATTACATGTTGATGGTCGACTTCTCGTATTTTATTATGTATTATACTTTGTATTTTATGTTGATATTTTAAAGACATTTGGATGGAAAAAAAAGTTGAGAAATTTGTCTAATGGTTTAGATTTCTTGTTTTTCTTTTTGACAACATAGAAAAACATTATCTCTTAAGTTTTGTGATATGAAATTTGAACAAAACTAAAATGATGATTATGATAAATACAACAATATTTAGTGATGAATCAACAAAATGCGAACGAAAAAAAGAGAGTAAGAATTGTAGAATATGAATAAGGTCATTGTCAGGAATATAAGACAAAGTAAATCCAAAGTGAGTTTGAGTTCGGCGAGAGACTTGGAACTAAGCTGTCGGCTACTCCCCAAAATCTATCCAGCTCATCTTTGGGCCCCATCTCTTCCCTTTCATTCAAATTTGTTCCGCTTCTTCTTTTACAAAGATAAATTTTAAACTTTAATATACATAAGTTTTCAAGTGTTATATCTCCATAAGCTTTCAAGTGTTATATCTCCAATCTTTTGTAAAACATCACTAATTAGTGTTATGATTTGGTGAGGGGTAGGGGTTAAAAGCTTAAAGATTCTTTAAACATTGGGATGAGTTAAAAGAAAGTTTAGCGTTTTAAGTATACAAACTTAAATCGATTAGAAAACGAAGTTAATTTTACGTTAAAAATTAATTCTGTAAAATTTCCTAAGTTTTGTAACTCGATTTGCAAAGCTTATAAGGCAAAACTCGATCCTCATTTTCGAGTAACAAAGAGTTTAAGAGACTTGTATATTTAAACATTTGTGAAACTGAAACCTATAAAAAATGGCATCAAACTTGCAAACTAGTGTATCATCTTTTTCTCTCTGTTTTTGTTTTTGTTTTTGTTTTGTGAGTTTCAATTTTTGTCAAGCGTGAGTTACTTAATAATCGTGAGAGGTATAGTCTTATTATTGATCGATCAATAATTAGTTATCATCACATTTTTTGTGATGTATTTTGATATTTTTTTGTGATTTCTTTATTTATCGTTTCTTACAAGAGACTCTTACGAGCTTTAAGTTTACAACGTCAAAATCAGAACTGAATTAATCGTAAAAAAGTACATAGCTAATTAATGTTATCTCCATCAAATGGGTTGATTCATGGGGAAGAAAAAGAAAGAAGCCTAAAGGCTAAGGCTGGTTCCTTTAGAGTTTAAATCGAAAATGACAAAAGACGGGAAAAAAAAAGTGACGTTGCCGACTTGCCGTATCTCAGTGGTAATTGATTAGTAGTGTTCTGCTCGATTTCATCATCATGTGTCATTGTCTTCATTTGCATCATGTGTTTTTGTTGCTTCTGACTTCTGACATTGCATGCATATCTCCCAAAATCCATCACTTGTATTTATCTATCCATCTTTAATTTCTAATCAATACAAACACTTATCATCTTTATTTTTTTGACTTCAAGCACTTTCTATATTCTTATTATGTATTTATGTGATATCTCTTTTTTTATTATCGACGAACTCATGTATTAAATCAAAGTTGGTCGATAAAATGATCGTCCTTAGGAGAAAGATCTACCGGTTTATTGTGACTTAAATGGCGGTCGAAAATTGTCCCTAGAAGCAAGATTTACGAGTTTGTTATAAGTTAGATGGAAAAATAAGTGACTTTGTACTTCCGTTTTTTTTTTGACACAAACATTTAAGCTACGAGAAATCAAATGCAAGCTTAATTTATCAAAAAGTTCCATAAGTATTCCAAAGTAGTCATGGGTAAAATGATTATCGAAACCTTCTATAAGTGTTTTAAGGTAGTCATGGTGGTAGAATGATTGTCCCTAGAAGCAATATTTACCAATGACTTGCATGAAAAAAAAAAACACTTTGTGCTTGCACTTTCTATCAGAGAGTGGATATAAATATTTAAACTACAAGAAATCAAATACAAGCTTAGATTATCAAAATCTTCCGTAAGTGTTTAAAGTAGTCTAACTCCAACTTAAAGAAGGACCAAGATAGTCTAACTCCGAAGGAGGGTCAATCTTCCAAAAATTAGTAAAACCCATATTTATTTTTTACTTGTTTTCTATTTAATATTTGTTTGTCTTACTAATTATTACTATTTTTTTGTTTCAATGTAATTTTTTAAAAAAATTTAAGTTTTAACTATACTGTTTTAATGTATTAAATAGAGAGAGAGAGAGAGAAATTTTATTTAATATATTAATAAAGAGTAAAATAAAATTTGTATTAATTTTAAAATTTATGTGAAATGTGTTAAAGTAATAACACTCTTTATAAAAGAGTATTTGTTAATTGTTATGATATAAACCGAAAAGTTTTATGATAAAATAGTTATATTGACCATAAAATTTACAAGTGGCAGTGATCATTAACACATACATGAAATGAGACCATTTGATTATTATAGTTACAGGGCTTAATAAAGATTGAGAAGCTGCTTCAGACAGATGTCCTTCTATAGGACCCACAAATCCCATATTCAAAACTGATAATCATATACACTGTCCGATCAAACATCATACGCACGACCGTAGACGAATATTAGAACCTTCTTCTCATCAACGTAATAATCTGCTGCAGTCGGCTTTACTGAAACCCACTCTCCTATTGGCCACATCAAACTCAACCCATAGATTCTGTTGATGAACGTTCCCGATTATATTACTCGCTGCACCAAGCATGCTGGACCGTCCGATCCCAAGACAGTGGACCCCACCTCCTACGTTAACGAGAAGCCTCTGTTTCTCAACGAGGATCTCAACTCCTCTCCCGAATTCAAACACGAGATCTCCTATCAACCGTCCGATCTCCACAGGATTGTTCCCATCGAAACACATGTCAGCCGTCGCGCCGTACACGTAACCCTTCTTTAATCTAGGCCCCACAAGCCTCACAATTTCTTCCTTCACTTTATCATACGCCACGTCGACCAAGTGAGTGAACTCGGAACCCGAGTCGACCATGGTTTGACCCGACCCGCCTGCATCGGGTCTGAAAACAGAGGCTGAGATGTTCAGTCTCTTTTGTCCGATTCGTATCCCTTGCAAAGGTACTGTGTAAGCCAGAGGGTCAAGATTCGGCATGCGTTGACTCTGAGGAAAAGTCAAAAGAGAGACGTATTTGAACCCGCGAGAACTCGGGTTTTCCCCGAGGTAAAACGAACCGGTCGAAGATAAACCGGGTTGGTTTGACCGGGTAGGAATGCAATAAGAGAATTTCGAGATTTTAGCTTGGGAGACGAAAGAAAGACGACCAAGATTCATTCCCAAAATACCCTTATCGTCTGTAGACTCAGCAGCGCAGCCTAGAATCAAAGGAGGGGTAATTTGGGTATTTGAGAAGGTGAATTTTTCTTTGACGAGATTACCCTCGGCGAAGGTTCCGTCTGCGTAGAAGTAGGAATAGTGACAGAGACGGTTCGAGTCGCAAGTCGTGGGAAGGGTAAAATCGGGAATTCGTGGTTTGCAGAGAGGATGAGAGCAAGGCAAATCGGAAAACGACGACGATAACGAAGGATCAAACGACGTCGTAGGCTTCTTCTTCTTTTTCTTGGGATGACACTGAATCCAAGAAAGTTGGCTTCCTGTGTCAAGAACAAGCTCTTGAGTCTGAGCCGGTGTTCCAATGGGAAGAGAGAGAATCAGAGCCATTGAATATTTGAAGTTTGATCGGAAACTGTACGGAAGAGACGACGGAGTCCGGCGAGAGGCGAGGGAGGTTTGGAAAGAAGAAGAAGAAGAAGACGAAGAAGAAGATGAGTTAGTGGTTGGAGTGAGACGAAGGGATTTGAGAGGAAAGTGGAGAGAGAGAGATGATGAGAGAGAAACTGAGTTACAGAGGAAAATGTAAAGAAATGTTACGAAGAGAGACATTTTTTTAAAGAGTGAGAGTGAGTGAAGAGAGAGAGAGGTGAAGGAAGAAGAGTGTGTTTATGTTATATATATACACACACGCGCACGAATATTATAAAGAGAGAGGAGAAATTTTGAAGGAGATTGTGCAACTAATTGGAAGTGGTTTACGTTCATCTAATATCATATGATATTTTTTTTTGTCAACATCTAATATCATTTTAATGTTCGTTTGTTTTTTTTGTATAATATATGATTTTAAGCTAGTACTTATGTCGGTTGGCGATGTCATGGATAAGGCTACAAATATATAGATAACTAAATTTGTTTTCGGTTTTGATTAGTTATTGGGTGATTAATGTTAACTAAGTGGTTTTAGCTCAGCAAACGACCTAGGACTATCTTTTTTATTGAGAATATAGTATTTTTATGGGTTAATTATAGTTTAGTCCAGATCTATCATTAAAATTTTGTCTATACTATATAGAAAATAGAAATAGAAGTTTTTTCTAATTTTTTTATTTTAGGATTTCATCAAAATTGAAATCAAGTAAATAAAACAGTTGGTTGGTTAATTGGTCACATTTTATTCATGAAATGGGTTGGATTGGTATTAGTCTGGATACAGCAAAATAATTCTATTAGGTCTAATGTACTTATTAGATCTAATAAGTATAAGTTCTTTGTGTCAGAATTGAGGTGGACAACCCGGCAAATAGACATCTATAAGAATTAGCTTATCAACTCCTCGAACAGTACTATAAGAATCGGTACTGAACATCCCCCTGTAATTGTACACGCTCCCATAGGTCGGATCCATATATATGTTTCATGCAAAAACTGAAATGAGATGTTAAAAAATATTTTAACATGATAAATGGTTTGAGTCATAACAAAGAAAAATATTGATTCTAATTGACTGGTAAACAAAACGAAACATTCCACAATTACGAATCATATCCAATAATTAATCTAAAGTTTGATATATACTTGTGAGTTCTGTTGAGTGGTTTTGTTTTGCTTCCTTTTCACGTTAAGTTTGATATACAAAATAATATATTGTTGATAAGAAAAAATCAAAAATACGTTGAACATCACTTTTTCTTTTGGTTAACTAGCTTCATATATTAATACAAGTTAGGTCGGTTTGGTAACTGTTTTCGAGGAGAAGATATATGAGGAGAAGATAAATGCATGTTTATGCTTTTTTGGAAGAGAGTGGACACATATATTTGAGATACCAAAAATTAATAACAAGCTAATAACGTCAAAAAAATCTAATTCTCACTTGAATGATGATTAGTTCACCCAATTCTCAATCATTTTAGCAAGTAATCTGTTTCGAATCTAATTAATAGAAGAATCTATTTTTTTTTTTATCTTTTACACCATTTTGATTATAAATTTAGAAGAGATTTGATGTAATACAGAAAAAACCCAAAAAAAAACGATCAGGGAAGCGGCTGACACGTAGTCAAAGGCGATAAAGGGAAGACGACTACTGATTTTTGTTTCGGAAACGCGTTTTCTCTTGGTGAAACAAAGCGAAATTCCGGAAACGCGTTTTCTCTTCGATTTCAGAAAAATGGTCTTTTTTTTTTTAAAGACAAATGGTCTTCGTTTTTAGACTTTGGTGAGATTAATAATATTTTGTTAACTGATTTTTGTTCATACTATTCTGGAGTCAATTCACATGTAATTTCTACAACTTTCACGTAGTGGCTATAAAGGTTATTTTATGGCATGTCCTACGTACTAGCTACCACGTTAAACCATGACTTCCATTAATAGAATACATTTCTTTTCGTTTCAAATTCTATTATGTTTTGTAAGAAAAAGAAGTACTGATTAGTTAAGAAAGTCGGTAATAGTTACGAATTCTTTTTTAATTGTTGAAGATCATCTATAGTTTTTTACTATTCGAATTCTTTTTTTTTTTGATAAAAGATTACTATTCAAAAGAAAATTTTTAACCAGTTATAACACTATAGTTACGTTCTATCATTTGCTAGTTGTTTTAAAAAGAGGTAATTTTTTTCTCTAAAAATGATTTCTTACGATTTTGACTATCTAAAACACGAGCTCGTCGTTCACCTTCCCAACTTATAATTTGAATTACTAAACCCATCCAAACTTTTTAAATTCAAACTATCACGAATAATTTCTAATTAAAATCTTTGATAAAAAAAATCTAATTAAAATCAGGAAATCAACAGAAAAAACTAAACATTTCAGCCACCTTATTATCCTAATTAAACAGTTGAAATGTTCTTAAGTGAACTAAAAAATATTTACTGGTTAGAACCACAATATCACATTCTTAAACCATCGTTATCTCATTCTCAACCAACGTATTAGTTGCCTATCTAAATAGTAAAAACATTAAAGTTTTGAGTTCGAACACCAAAGACTAATTACCCTCCTTGCTCTTGTTTCTGACCCGAGAAAATTATAAACTTAGATTCATAACATTTTGTTAATAAAATAAATCCAAAAACAATTTCCACTTACATTATTCAATCATGAAGGTAGATGAGAATATACATATGGCGCGTTGATGTAAGGCGTTGTTGATGCAATTATGCCTCAAAGGCTTAAACTTGTTTTTCTATTTGGAAAGTGTTGGATACTTTTGAATATATTTTTTTAATTACACTAATATATACCATAGACCATAGGCATAATTGACGAATTTGTTTGTGTTTTTTTGGAATATCCATTCAAGAAGGCGGAAATAAAAAGAGTGTCCCTTCAAAAGGAGAGCACACTACACCTAACTCGACGATCTTTTTTTTGTTTTTGATTTAGAATCAACTATTGATAATGTTTTGATTTCAAAAGCGACAATAATACTAAAAAATGAAAGTGCTATTTTACATTAAGTTATTTAATATTGATATAATAGAATATGAGATAATTACGATATCCTAAAAGTGTATGATCCAACCCACCTAATCCAATAATTTTATATGTAAGCTAAACGAAGATATTCTGCCTTAATAGCAAAGTTAATGGTCTAAAATTGAAAAATTGCATGTCAGTGTTATATATAAAAACAATAGAAATCGAGGGTTAAATATATAGATCAACACCTTGATTTTTGCTTGTTAAAAGATTGAATTAAATTTCTGTGATTGCCTGAGTAATCAATAGTCGTCTAATCTCATATATAAAAGAGTAATTGCACCAAATGCCTATAGAAACTATGAAAATCATAGTTTCTCATTTAACTCTATATAAAATCATATCATTATAGCTAAATCTATTAAAATAATAATATTATATTGAGGAGAAATTTGAAAGATTATACCACCAATGGACTCCATGCTCTTGGCGGTCTGGTGTATAGAAAAGAGATTCATTTGTAAGTGACGTTGACAACATAAAATAAAGTCATCTACTTATTTTGGACCGCCCATTACTAATTTTTTTTCCTCAAGGATAGTAAAAAGCATATATCCAAGTTATTAAAAATATAAAAGACATGAACTTATTAGCTTATTTTGTTTACAAGAAACTCTCAATAAATTACACTTCTTTCGCCCAAAAAAACTTACACATAAAAAAATAATCAAAGAAATAAGACTAGTAAAATTTAATGTTTGTTTCGCTGTAATACACGATTTATACGTACCTCATTAATATTTCTATTTTTCAATAATGCCTTTACGATTTTTATCTGGAAACTACCAAACAATGTTTGTAAAAGTGATCCGATTGGTTTGGTCTGAATTTTAAATCTGAAAATAGCTTCTATTCAGAAATTCCTTTTGAAATTGATCAAAACTTTTCATTTTTTATTTTTGGCGAAAGATTTTCTGTTCATACAATGCTCTTTCCCATAAAACAAGGCACGAATCCAAGTATTTTTTAAGAAACGACTACTAACCGATACTTTTCTTTTCATTTTAATATATGTCTTTATTGTGTTAGTGCTTTTTACATTTCCGGTCTAAAAATAATAAAAGAAAGTCCTTTTTCCAATGTGATTACAAACATTCGAACGTAAATATTGTTGTATTTTTAATGTGTAATAATCTATTATTTCATTTTTTGTCATCTATATAGGTTATGTTATATTAAACGATTTTACATACGATTTGAGGAGTGACAACTCTTTTCATATTACAGAAATCTATGATAAATGATTTAATGCATCATGTCGTAAAAAAAAATGATTTAATTGCATCATAAATGTCGACTATATTTGTAGCACGTTAAAATCTCAGATAAACTAAAATCCATAACCATGATCTAGAAATAAAACCCCACACACATAATGTAAAAAAATCAAATATTTGATCTATCACTAGACTAATGGGAATTGGCCTCTATCCATTTCATTATTGAGCCTCTCACCTACTCACCTAGAGTAGGATTATCAAAATATTGATTAATCAATAGACCAAGTAGCTCTCTCCTCCATCTCTATTTTATTATAACTTTACAAATTGCCATTATGGATGTGGCAAGAATATCCCTTTTCTAATAGTTTTTAAGTATTTTCCTCCATTTCTAATTACTATTTGTTTACTAAAAAAATTATTGTTTCCAAAAACTATTAGATACTTTTAAATTCTATTTATAATTAGTACTCCTTTTCTTAATTCACCTCTATAATATTTATCATGTAAAGATAAAATTTAAATAAAATTTAATAAGTTAGTATCATTTTTACAAAAAAAAAACTAATATAATGAAAACTTTAGAAAATATATTAATAGAAAGCTGTGGAAAAAAAAATTACCGACAGGGACGTGTGCATTGGATCGTGATATTTTGACACATCACAGATACACACGCACTCACGTTTTGAATTTGTATACTTTACGTCTTTAAAATTGGAGTGTCGTTGTTTTATCCAACACAAATCCGTGCGACTATTAAATTTGTAACCTGGTTTTAAACCAGTATCTTCATGGCAGTTAAACGTTGTGTCTCTTTTTCAACTTAAGTCTCTTTATGATTGTCATATTTGGAGTTAGTTAGTGGTCATTTTCGACAATACGTGACCAGCCTGATTGATAAAACAAACAACTAAAAATTGTATGAACTGAAACAGCTTCTGAATCGCATTAGACTCACTTTTTTGTTTTGATGAATTCAATCAATACAAGGCAAATAGAAGAACTATCGTTTATTAAACTTCAAGAAAGTATATAACATAGAAGCAAAAGAAACACTTAAATAGAGGAGACTAAACCTAGCTACCCTAAAAGAAAAAGAAAGAACGATAATCAAAAATAGAAAATAAACAGAAAAACCCCAAAGTTTAATGATAAAAAGAAAAGAAATAAGCTCTCTAAATATACGTCACAGCATGCAACATAGGTGCCATCGTATGTGATACAACATGGAAAACAATGTTAGATGCAGCTGCATCAGATAGTGAAATGTTGTTCGTTTCCTTTCAAAACTGATTTCTACATGATATTCCCAAATATAATTCCACAACATGTTGAAAAAAATTAAAGAACAATAGTTTTGCTAATCATCTGAGAAATCATACATTACATCGAGTATTTTTTTTTGTTAAAAAAGAAAGAGGAGCAGGTCGTTTCAGAGTCTATGTCCCTAATAATAACCAAAGATTCTTCAACAATGTGTGATTGATGTTGAATGGGTTATTGTCTTCTAGCCGTAGAAATCCATCTCAGCCTTCTTCAGCACGCATGAAACTTTTTCAAAGAACTCTGCTTCTCTTTCCTTCACTTCCTCAAGACTCTTAGCTTCATGTTCATCAGCCTATTACAACAAAACACCATACCTCAAAATGTAACACAACCAGACCAAATCGATGAACTCTTCGTAATGATTCCATAAGAAAAAGACCCAAACCTCTTTAAACTTCAAAAGAATCAAGTTTGAGACTGATGCTGGCTTCTTTGCATCCCATCTGATCAATCATAACTTCCACATTATGTAACGGAGAATTTTCCAATATTTTTTTTGTGGAATGAAATTGAACATACCTTACGAGCATCAACTCATTCATGGCTCGCCACATTCCTCTCCCAACATCTTTTGCAGCCTCGTCTCTAGCACTTCGTCCATGCCACAACTCTTTCACTATGTACTTCACTTCCTCAACATCTACCTACAGAAGACAAAAGGAGATCAAATTTTTATCATTTTCAGGAAATGTACCATAGTTTAGAGCATTGAAATTTTAACTTCACAAGCAGTTTCAAGTGTCACATATGTCTTCAGTTACCGTTCCTTTTTCTTTACCAGTTTTAGCGACAAAGAGCACAAATATATCATCAGATCGTTACTGAGGCCAATCTAAATACCTGGACTTCTGCAGATGTGCCATAAACTGTCTCCTCATGCTCAATAAGGCGTTGATGAAGCAATCGGTAATGATCCAAATCAAGATTTACGATAGGCTCCATCTGAACTTGCAGACCCGCAAGCTGTGTTATTACATACGATGCCATGATTTGTCCGAAAATAGCCGGGATGGTTCCAAGAACAGGAATGATCCGAACACGGAAGCCAGGAACTACCTGAAATTCACAAGCAAGCTATTAAGATCAATGACTAGTGTAAAAGATTGGATATAGAATGTTCAGTTTTTCAAGAACTGATATTAGTTACTTGATAATCTGAAGGATTCTCGTCTTCCCCATTAGGCCCCTTAAAGGGAAGCAGCTTTGCTTTTGGTTTTTCCAGGGAAAACACAACAGGAATGCCTCCTTCAATGCCGTGTTCTCTCCTCAGTCTGTGTCTTACCTGAAAAGTCAAGAACCATGTAGGAGGATTTTAATCATCAACCATCAATACTTATCTATTTGATGAACCATCAATATCGATAGAGGAAAGAGTTAAAAGGTGTTACAGATCGAGATAATGGATCAATTGTGGATTCTCTTAAATCAGCCATTCTGATTCTTGTTGGATCAGCTCTAGCACCCGCACCAGTTGCAGACAGAACTTTCAAACCCCTTTTAACACATGCAGCCAAAAGTCCCACCTAACATTTTGTTTTAAGATCAGGCAATTATACACACATGTGCTTAACTAATGTCTCACATATCAACCGATCAATTCAAGTTCATGAGCACGTAAAAGGGCACCTTTGTATCGATGTTGTCAATGCAGTCCAAAACGAAATCTGGTTTGCCTGAGAGAATCTCTTCTTCGGACGATGAGTCATACAGCATCACTTTGGCTTCTACACGGCATTCAGGAAATATCGAAGAGAAATGGTTCTTGAGACAAACAGCTTTCGGAATACCAACATCTGCTCGTGTTGCAACAGCGTGTCGATTCAGTGATGAAAGTGACACCTTTTCAAGTAATTTAAGAATAAGTGTGAACCAAGATGGTTGAACTTTTGTAATGCAAGTTTTGAGTGAAACAGATCAAATATAACATCATAGTACCTGGTCAAAATCTACAAGGAGGAGCTTCCCAACACCTGACCTCAAGAGCATAGATGCAGCATGACTCCCTACACCTCCAAGCCCAATGACCACAACATATGACCCAGTTACTTTACGCTGAGCTTCAAGGTCGAAAAACTGGATATTCCTACACAGAGAAATCAGCATAAACCATTTTTAGAATCATTATAGCATCAGGTAATGTACTTCATAACCTCAATACAAGAAGATTCAGACATCACAACAAACGTGAAATAACAAATGTTAAAGAAGATTTTCTTTTGAGTCTTTTTGCTTGCCCTTTCTTGACGAACCAATACTTTCATAAAGATCATAGCTTTGTGTCTCTTTAGTATCAGCTACCAAAACAATCATTTCATTAAGATTAAGACACTAAAATTTATAAAGGTACCTGGTTAAATGTTCAGACACAATTTCATCTGTCAAAAGATCCTGACCAATTGCTGAAGTAACTCTTTCTGTTTCAGTTTCAATACCATTTCCTGCAAACAAAAAAATTGCATTTTTGATATTGGATCCAAACAAAGAAAACTAATTTTTCATCTTCTTCATCTCAAGATTGGAAAAAAGAAAATAAATTTCACAAAGTACCTAACAGCTTAGTTCCTGGGTTTTGATCATGCTGCTTCACTGAGCTCCTGCAATAGATAAACACAACTTGAATCAACGGGTCAATTATCTCGAAGCAACATTATCGAAAGCAGAGGGTTTTTTTTTGCCTGCAGAGAAGTTTAAGGAGAGCGACGGAGGAGAGGGATCCGATTAGAGCTCCGGCTCCGACGAGACTCAGGTACTTTAATTTTTGTTCCATGACCGTTAATTTTCTCACTCTGTTTCTTTTGCCTTATCTCGTTCCCAGCGAAGAAGACGCGAATCGAATTAAGGGTTTAGGGTTTTAAAATTGGGAAAATTGTCACAAAAACATAAACTTTCAAATTTTAACCATTTCAAGCACAAACTAGAGCATAAATAAATTAAATCATCAATTTTCATGAATTTTAAATTTAAACTAAAAAAAAATTATTGACTGAACTAAACTAGACATACCATTCGACAAATAAAACGGATGAACGAGGTTAAAAGACCATTATAATCACATTCTAAACTAGAGTCTTAAGAGAAAAAAAAGCAATATTGTATCGTTTAATCATGTTTTACAACGATATAACTTGTTCATCCATTCTGTTTGTCGATTTAATGTTGTGACTATTCTACTCCACTCAACAAAAAATGATAACTTAAACTATTCACAACATAGTTTGTTCCTTAAATAACTAAAACTTAAAAACTTATGTTTTTTTTTTCTCGTTTTAAATTTATTACTGACGAAATCAATATTTTCTTACCAAAATTCATGTTTTGCTCATCAGCTCAAAAGTGGACCGAGTTAACCAAAATTCATCTTTTCTTACCAAAATTCATGTTTCGTTCATCATCGTTTTGGTTCGGCCCGGTCATACCAAAGAACCGAATAAACCAAGATTTGATGGAATTGTTCAAATACAAAAACAAAAATATTACAACTTCTTACCATGGCTTATGTATCAAGGAATGCAAAATAAATGATTTTTGACATATGACAAACTAGTCACAGAATTGCTCAGTGATCATAACTTTCATCTAGCTCAGCTCGACGTATATGAATAGGGTTCAAAACTGACATTATATATGTCAAAAGAAAGAATGATGAAAAGAATAAATAAATACAGTTGAGGATTTGTGTGATAAACGAAAGGAAGAAGAACAAAAACTTGGAAGTCTCTTAAGCACGTCTTTTGCTGAGACGCCATGAGTTAGGCTCGTGATAACGATCATACAAAGGCTCAATCCGTTGCAGGCGCTTACGCTTGCTCATTTTGGTTGGATCAGCGACTTTGAAGAATCTTGGAGCTAACTCAACAAGCCACTTTGAGTCAATCACAGTCACTTCTCTCATGTACTCTTTGGTCGTCATCACAAGTTCATGATATATCACCCAATCTGGTTGTCTCTGGAACAGCGAGCCGCTCGGATGTATATAAACCGGTTGGTTCTCCACTAGCGTCCTGTAACCTTCCTGTGGATCTTTTCTTGCTCCATGGAAGAAGAATCCTGCTGTGATTGCTTTGCTTATCTTTGTAAGATTCTTTCCCGCGCTTATCACATCTAGTTTAAACCTGTAAAACAATCAAAATCACACGTTCAAAAGACTGGTCTTGCCACACATATCAACAAAGTCTATATATATATACTATAGTTTAGTTACTTACTTGTCCATAATGCTGAGAAGCTGTTTCCTCACATCTTGAGCACGTCTTAACGATCGTGACTGTACGAAGTTTTCGATACACCATGATCCTGAGAAGTTGTTGGCCTTCCAAGCTTCATATACAGCTAGCAATGTAAAGTGGTCACCTTCAGGCTGGAAAAACTTTGCCCTTCTTTGGTCTGCTTCAGCTTGCTTATTCCTCGGTCTATAGAATATGTTGCCCGTCTGGATCATAGCAATCACCGTTAAAATCTCATCGCTGCATCCGAGTTCCACACTAGCCAGCAATGTTTTTGAGAGCGGTGGTTCAAGAGGAAACTCAGCCATTTTTCTACCTAGCTTTGTCAACAACCCTTCCTCATCCAAAGCCCCCAAGCTATACAACTGTTCCATGGCAGATATCAAAGCCTGTGGTTTTGGTGGATCCATGAAATCAAACGATAGCAAGTCGTTGATGCCCATTGCTTTCATGGTAAGCGTTGTCATTCCAAGATCAATCCTTTGTATTTCAGGGGTTGATGTAGGAAGCATCTCGTTACTATATGCGCTCTTCGTGTAGAGACGGTAACATTTACCTGGACCAGTACGACCAGCACGTCCAGCTCTTTGCTTTGCTGATGCCTGTGAGATTGGAGTTATGACTAGAGATTCTAACCTTTGCTTTGGGTTATACACGTTCTGCTTTGCAAAACCAGGATCAACAACATAATATATCCCATCTATTGTCAAAGAAGCTTCTGCAATATTTGTGGCTACAACCACTTTCCGTGTACCAGGAGATGAAGGATCAAATATCCTAGACTGCATTTCACTAGGAAGGGCACTGTAAACTGGAAGTATGTTGAGTTTAGGTACATTTTTACCTAGGGCTTGCATTCTCTCGTACAGTGACTGACATGCATAATCGATTTCTTCCTGTCCTGTTAAAAAGAGGAGAATGTCACCTTCCGGCTCAGTCAAGTGAATTTGAAGGACTATGATAAGAGCTGCATCCAAGTAATCAGACTCTGGCTGTGTTGTATACAGTATCTCAACAGGGAAGGTTCTTCCAGGGATTGTGAAGATGTTGCAGTTGAAGAAATAGCCAGAGAATTTCTCAGCATCCAATGTAGCTGACGTGACTATCAGACGAAGGTCGGTTCTACGTTTCAACAGCTTCTTTAGAAGACCAAACAGAACATCAGTGTGTATTGTCCGCTCGTGAGCTTCATCAAGCATGACAACAGAGTATTGAGAGAGGTTTTCGTCTATCAGAATCTCTCTAAGAAGCATACCATCAGTCATGTACTTGATCACAGTATCTGGTCCAGTACAATCCTCAAACCGAATCGCATACCCTACCTCTTCTCCTAAACGGCAACCAAACTCCTCAGCTACTCTCTTGGCTACAGACATCGCTGCAACTCTCCGAGGTTGAGTACAACCAATCTTTCCTTTTGTTGTATAACCTGCTTCAGCGAGATACTGAGTCACCTGTGTTGTCTTCCCAGAGCCAGTCTCACCAATGACTACCAAAACTTGATTATCTTGCACAGCTTGTATCAGCTCTTTTTTCAACTTGTATATAGGAAGGCTCTTCCTTTGCTCCTGGATTGAAGAAAGCTTTGATCTTTGACCAAAAGTTGGAGTTTTTCCAAAAGCATCCTTCTTCCATTCAGGTATGTCGTAAGCTGATAAACCTAAACCCTTAAGCTCATGAGCAAGATGCCTTTCACCAGTTTCAGGCATTGGATCTTCCCAAGGACGATTCAGATCCTTGGGGATTGAGTCAACCATTGTTCTTTGCTGCTGCTCCCTCGTTTCTCTCCTCTCCTTTGTGAGTGCAGACTGCAATGCAGCTGCTCGGCTCAATGATCCTTCTGGATTCTTGAAGATCTTCACTGGAGACATGTCAACAGTACTGTACCTGCTTTGGCCCTTTAAGAAAGAAGGTTCTTCTTCATTCATCTCAATCTCAACTTCTTCTTCTTCTTCCTCTTGATAAACCATCCCATCTCCTTCCTCCTCGTCGTAATTTGGAAACTCCTCCATTCTCAAGACACCAGAGGCAATCAACTGCTTCACTTCCCATCTCTCAGGTGAGCTCATTCTCTTACCTCTTCTTCTTCTTTCTCGATCCCAACTCTTATTTCGATTCTCCTCTCTTTGTCTCTGTCTCGCTTCTCTTTCCATCTCTTTCTCAAGCTCTTTAACTTTATCCTTAGTATCTTTAATAGCCAAAGCTTTGAAACTTCCTTTATCTCCATCTTCTACATCCTCTCTCTTCTTCTTCTTCTTCTTCTTCTTCTTCTCAGACTTAGGTTTAGGTTTCGGAGGGTAAATACCGTGGATAACAGTTAACAGCGAGCGAAGGAAATAATCCGGAATCTCTGTGACGTCTTCCTCCTTGAGCTTCTTATCGAAGTCATCGACAGTCTCAGAGTGACGACCAAGATGGATGATGAACTCGGCCAACACCTTTGGGGCATCTCTTATAAGATGCGTCTCTAATTCGTTACAGACATTGGAGACGAGAGAGAGATAGTTCAATTTTTTGAGTTCCTTATTTTCCATGGCTTGTAACCCACAAGAGAATCCAAGACGAGTCCAAGAACAACTTTGTTTTCTGTATATCGATCGATTTTCTTCTAGGGTTGTTTTCTGCTTTGCTCTTTCGCTTTTTTTTGGGATACCAAAATTTCAGGTTTTATAAACCTAGCAAGAAAACATGGTACGTCCTTTTTCCTTACATGTACATGCTAAATTTAATTAATTAAATGGTTTGATAAACTAAACCATGGTTTTGGTAAAACTAAACCATATGATGGTTTAGGAACAAAGTTTAACAAAAAAACTAGATTTAAATGAGTTACAGTCGGTTTGACAAATTACAACCAGAATAAATTTCAAGATGAGAAGTGAAAATCAATAGAGAAAGCGTTGGATATCAAAGAATTCTCCAGATAACATAGATTGATTTATGGAGCTGAGATTAATCACGAAAAATAAACGAAATTTTGTTTTTGAACTCAAGTCACATATGAACAAATTAACCTACACTTGCACTTGAGGGCCAAAATCAAGTTCAATAAATTCACAAAACAAATCAAAACAAAATACATATGGCCTTAAAATATGTACGTTTATCTTCGGAAATAGAATGTTAATCGTAAGATTTAATAAACAGACAAATAAGCCTTCAAAACAATGGCGATTCGTTTTTAAACACATGCCCGAAATTCATTATATGCAAATGCAATAAAGAGTACACATGAAAAATCCAATCCTACAAAGAACAAACACAAGATGCCACAAAGCATCCAAATTTAACACTGCAGAGTTTAGCATCTAACAATGTGCTTATTGCAATTTGCTTATAGATTTCACAGCAAGCTTAAACCGTGATCCAATGGCACTCAGCTTAAATAGAGAGGAGAACAAACGAAGAATCAGTACCTTTATTTTTAGCAAAATAGAGAGAGAACAAATATGTGAAACAGAGCAAGTGAAAAACGCTCTCACTTCTTCAAGAGCACGGCACTGCACTGCGCCATGATCTTTGATGCTCTTGTGATCGAGTTTGTCATGTAAAAATTCTCCACCACGGTTTGGAACGGCGTCTTGCTCATTGTCTCCTTGCACTCTGGCTTCAACGAAGGCCCAAAAGCAGCTGGCTCTCGTTCATCTGTGTGGACTAGATTTGGTGCAACGCTCTTGATTCTTGATCTAACACCGTCGATCGAGTTATATGGAAGCTTCACACCCGAGACCTCGGCTAAGGCTCTCACTATCTTCCAGTCATCTCTTGCGTCACCGACAGTTGGAACAGCAGGAACTGTCTGCTGTGTAAACCCTTCTGTGTTTTCATAGGTTCCTTCTTTCTCAGTGAAGGCTGATGCAGGGAGAATCACGTTTGCACGGTACACCGCTTTGTCACCATGGTGTCCTTGGTAAACCACAAAGGCGTCTTTAGGGATCTTGTCAACGTCTACATCGTCTGCTCCCATCAGGTAGACGAATTTCGCAGAGTCAAGGGCTTTGGCGGATTGTTGAACGAGACCAATATCAAGAGCAGCCGCCTGGGCAGCGTAGAGAAGGAGATAGTTTAGACCGTTCCAGTCTGGTCGTACGACGTTGTTGGCTTGTGCAATGGATTCAACGGCAGAGAGGATCGCGTCTTTGTCGGTTCTGTTGAAGAGACCAGCGCCAACGATGATTGCAGGTTTTTTGGCGTTCTTGAGAGCCGAGCAGAAAGGGTGGCTTCCCTCGGCGATTTCTTTGAGTGTATCAGGACCGGTCCCGAGGTGTTTGCAGTCGTAGTTGAAATCTGTAGGTGGACCAATGTATGCAACCTTAGCATTCGATGCACGGACTGTCTTGCAGATCCTGGCGTTCACCATTGCAGCTTCAACTCTTGGCTGGTAAATACAAAGCGAAGCAAGTGAATGTACCGCCTAAAAGGACTTTACAAAGAGATAGGGCGGAAACTTCACCTGAGTACCAACTAGAAGGAAGAGATCGGCGTTCTCGAGTCCGCTGATGCTAGTGTTCATTAGATAGCTGTATCTAAGATCAGCATCAACACCAACAGCTGTTCCTTCACACCAGACATTGTCTGAACCCATTCTGTTAACGAAGTCCTTCAATACCATCATGGACTCTGCATCAGATAGCTGACCAGCTATTCCAACAATCTCATCCGACTTCACTTGATGAACGATATCACCCACAACAGCTAAGGCATCACGCCAGCTCACAGCCTTGAATCGTCCATCGGAATCTCGAATCATAGGGTCGCTCAGCCTTTGTCTTTTCAGCCCGTCATAACTGAATCTGGTTTTGTCCGATATCCACTCTTCATTAATATCCTGAAATAAAAACAATCAAAGGTTCAACATCTAGCAAAACACCTTCAATAGTAACGTTTTTTAACGCAGGTAAGAAGAAAACATACCTCGTTAAGGCGTGGAATAATACGCATCACCTCTGGTCCTCTACTATCAACACGGATGTTGGACCCAACAGCGTCACTAACATCAATTGTTTCTGTTCCTTTCAACTCCCAGTTTCTGGCTTTAAAGGCAAAAGGCTTTGAAGTCAAGGCCCCCACAGGACAGATGTCTATAACGTTTCCAGAGAGTTCACTGGTCATAAGCTTTTCAACATAAGTTCCAATTTCTTCTCCACTACCACGTCCTAGCATACCAAGATCCTCAACCCCAGCAACTTCCGAAGCAAATCGTACACACCTAAAAGACATTATCGAAACATAACTTGATCAATAGAATAGCCTATAAATCGCATGAATTAAACTATCACACTTGAAGCTAACTAACCTTGTACACTGGATACACCGAGTCATAACAGTCTTCACAAGAGGACCGAGGTTTTTATCAACGACAGATCTTTTCATCTCAGTGAAACGGCCTCTGTCAGATCCAAAAGCCATAGACTGATCCTGGAGATCACACTCTCCTCCTTGGTCACAAATCGGGCAATCCAGAGGATGATTCATCAATAGGAATTCCATCACTCCCTCCCTCGCCTTCTTTGCTATTGGTGTGTCAGTCTTAATCTTCATCCCTGTAAGAAATACACTTAGAAGTCTAGCATTGTATAACATTACGGAACACGAAACAATAACACAGAAGGACTTTGATGCAAAGGGTATTCAAAACTCCATATAGACTTACTAAGGGAAAAACAAACTTCAATACTGAACACAAAGTAATACAGCTTATAAGAGAAACAAAAATACCTAAAGTGAAAAAAAGTTCATCTTTACAAAACATTTAGAAAAACTGGCACGCAAGTTGA